GTGAAGAATATACTATTATCATTCCCATGTTACAGAGAGGAAACAGGCAAAGGGGTTAAGTACCTTGTGTCTTAGAAGGAGTAATGCTCGGTTACCTTATATGACTCTTGTTACCTTATATGACTCTTGTTACCTTATATGACAGAGATACTTCCAGGTTTGATTAAATTAAGAATCTTGAGATAGGGAAAGTAGCCTGGATTACGCAGATGGGCCCAGTGTAATCATAAGGGTCTTTATGAGAGGGGGGTGAGAGCATCAGTCAGGGAAGGAGAGCAGAAACAAGGTGGGGGAGTTGAAGATGCTATGATAGGAGTCTTGCACATGAAGAAAGGAGTCATGAGCCAAGGAGTGTGCATGGTTTTTAAAAGCTAGGAAAGAGGAGGAAAGGGATTATCTTCCAGAGACTTCAGAAAGAAAGCAGCTCCTGCCAGCACCTTGATTTTAGGACTTTGGAATTCCCAAACTAGAAGATAATAAATTTGTGTTGTTTCATGGGACCAAGTTTCTGGTCATTTGTTACATCAATAACCAGAAACTCATACGTTTGCCCAAGGTAGAGGGAAGATGTGAACCCACACAGACTGGTTGTCTTAACCTCTAAGCTACACTGTAATAAAACACGATTAAAAATGGTTCAGAAGGGGCACTTGGGTGGCTCAGTCAGTTGAGTGTCTGTCTTTGGCTCAGGTCATAATCTCGGGGTCCTGGGATCAAGCCCCACGTCAGGCTCCTTGCTCGCCGGGAGTTGGCGTCTGCTTCTCCCTCTGCCCCACCCCTGCTCTTGCTGTCTCTCTCTCAAATAAATAAATAGAATCTTAAAAAAAAATGGTTTAGACGGGGTGTAGCTGGAGGGGGATAAACGTGTCAGAACAATTTGCAACTAGTAACTAGAGAATTAGAGTTTATGTCCTCCCTGTGGTGAACAGGGCTTGACAGGGCCACATTATTAATATCTATAGTAATTCAATCATTAAAAATATAACCTCAGTTATAAGCCTACTAATGAACAGATTTACCATTAGAAACATAATTCTTTCAGTCAAGTAACATGTCTCCTCCTACATCTTTGGACTATAGGTCTTTTACTGTAACAAATTTTGTTAACTTCTGATTTCTAGCTTTTCTTAAAGTCAGTTTTCTAATATGTCTACTTTTCCTATCTATGCGTTTCAATTGTGTACCAAAGATTATTTTTTTGAAAGTGACAAAGAGGGGCATAAGTGTGATTCTGTTAATTAAAACATGAATATTACTTTGGATGTTTACTTTAGTGTTTCTAAACAAATAAATATTGAGTTAAATTACTTTCCTTAATGGCCTACTCTCATCAAATCTTCGTAAGTTAGTTTCAATGTAAAGAAATACTGGTATGAATCATTTGAACTTTTCTTTTGTGAGAATGTATTTGCATTGATAGTGTTCTTTGTGGAATAGTGAAAATAAGTTAGCCTTGAATGTTATTGGAGATGGCCGAAGTTGAAATTGAAATTGAAATGTTGTTTACCCAGGGGCACCTGAGTGGCTCAGTGGGTTAAGTGTCTGCTTTCGGCTCAGGTCATGATCTCAGGGTCTGGGGACTGAACCCTGCTTTGGGCTCTCTGCTTAGCAGGGAGCTTGCTTCCCCCCTTCCTTGCCTGCTGCTCTGCCTACATGTGATCTCTCTTTCTTTCTGTCAAATAAATAAATAGAATTTAAAAAAAAAATGTTGCTTCCCCATTGATGTGAAGCTCAAGTTGTACTCTGTAGGTAGTAATGTTGAAAGTAGATTTTTCAGAAGCAAAAAACCATGACTTAAATTCAAATACAGAATAAACACATATGAAAGGTGTATTTAATTAATTAAAGAAGGAATCAGAAGAATGGTAAAGCTAGTTGAAAGAAGATTCAAGAGACTGAGTGTAGATAGGAATTCAAGAAAGAGTGTTGGATTATTATCACTATGTTGGGTACAGAAATAGTTAATGTCCAACAAGGCAATAAAACCGTAACTGTAGAGCCATTTGTATTTCTGCTGAGCGGAAAAGATCTACAACTTAACATGTAATTTAACAAAGTCTAATCCTAATCTGTAATAAATAGTAAAATCTGACATTTATTAGTTCATATAGAATTAAATACTCTTTAGGTGAGTCTGTGAGGAAATTGTCCAATATAACATTGAAAGGATGTAAAGTTATTCCTTTGTATTATATCTAGTATTTCCAATTTTTCTTAACAGTGGGTAAGACCATTTTCAGGAGAAGGTACAAACCTCTCTCTCTTTCTCAAGACTTTTTGTCATATAATTCCAGATTTTTATATCATTAACTGTATGTGCCACAACACAGTGTTTTGTGATTATTGTTTAAAATTATATGCTTTTTGTATGTCAGATATGTTGTGTAGATAGTTTTTTATAACAGTAACTTATATTAGACTCATTATAAGTGAGTTTTTTTTTATAAGTGAGGTTTTTATCTGAAGTAATACTGTAGGAATCCTGAATTTTTTTCTTTTATGAAAATTCTTGTATTTATGTTACACATATATATGTTGACATTTTCCTGTGCTGACATTGTACTCACATTCTGAATTATATTTAGCTTTTTTCCCTGAAGCTTTTGTTCACACACAGGTGCAGTCTGTTTATTCTTCTCCTACTTAAACTATTTTCAGAACCATTTTCAAGGCAAACCCTGCTCACTCTTTTTCTTCTTCTGAGAGGTGAATTACTAACCGTCGCCGTATTTCTCAGCAACCTTCAGAGCTTCCATTCATGACAGTGGAGGAGAGAAAGTGTTGGGAGAATGCCTGGGTTTTGGGAACTAAATGTCCTAAGAGTAATTCTAAAAGTTTATGGGGGACATGAGTAGGACTTGAAGACCATGGGGAGTGGGAGGTTAGTGGTGAGGTTTCTAGATCAGAGAGCTGAGTTTCCCCAGCTACCTTAAGTAAAGAGACCCAGTCTTCGGTTAGGCTCCATCAGCCCGTCATGGCTGCTCACTCACCAAGCCACGTCCATCTTCATGGAATGTCAGCTCCATGAAGGCAGGAGCCATGCTGATATTGATTACTTTCTTCATCCCAGTATCTGTCCCAGGGCCTCGCAAATGATGTGCTAAATACATACTTGTTGAATGAATGCCTCACATTACTGAGGTATTATCTGTGGACCAAGAAGATAATAGGTAAGAGTGAAGGAAAGGGGCAAGTGGCTTCAGTTTAAGAGATGCTTCAAGCATCAATCACCTGATGTGTTGTCCACTATCCTGTTTTTGCTGATAGAAATATTGAAACCACGAAAGCTTTAGGTGCCGTGAAGGGTGAATATATATGACCATTGTAATTTGATAATAATAGCGAAAAAGAGACAAAAGAAATAGTATGCTGAAGTCACACAGGTTGAACCTTTACTGGAAAAAAAAAAATTCTCTTGATAGCTAATTTCAAAAATAGACTTTATCTAAAATAAAATCATATGATGATGGTTGCCTTTAAGCGATACATTAACTCAGAGATAACTGCATGGCTCTGAATGTGTCAACGTTTAAAGTCTGTCTTATTGGAATTTTTCTTAATTTATTGTAATCTAATAATCATAGAACACATTATTTGTATTTGACACAGAGTTATGTTTTTACTGTGCACATTCATTCAGCTATATAACAAGGAATAATTGTTCAGTTAACATTATTCTTTCTACAGAATGCAATGTTTATTCATGTGCATTTGGTGAATGAATTCTTTATAAGCACATTAACAAGATGTGGAAAAATCAAACCTCTGAATTTTCAAAAGATAGCTGCATAAAATAGTTGAAAAAAATTTCCGGGGGTGGTGAGTATAAATGGTTCACATTAAATATGATGGATAATCTGAATGAAATGTATATTTGGGCATACAAGTAGCTGTAATAATTCTGTCAAATGAAACAAAATGAGTAAACTTTACTGTCATTTCATTGACTGGGAAGAGTCAGCTAACCAGTTGAAAAACAGCTTCATCGGGTTTCCCTAACCTCTTCATTTATTACAGAAATGTACTCTCAAGGGTAATTGTCTTAAAAAAAAAAAAAAAAAAAACTTCGACTTGCGAAATGTAGAAAACACTGCTAGGCTTTCTGAGTGTTATCAGTTCTATTTTGTGTCTGTTGTTCAGGATGCACTGATTTTGACACATGTGCTGTTACGTTACTGGTTTAACATGACATCTTTTTTCGGATGAACTGAATAAAAGTGATCTTGACAATGAGTAGATAAGACACCATCAGAAAGCTGAAAAAACATGTCAATGTCACAGTTTTGACACAAATGCAGCAGAACAGCCCTTATAATATCATTAAGTGAATGTCTTTGCAACGATGTCCTCTAGAAGACAGAATATAGCATCATTCTTAAGTGCTATTACTTAACCACAAAAATAATAAGATAAAACAAAACACAAAGGTCAGCTTAATATATACTTGAGGTAGCATTTGGTGAGTCTGATGTATATGTGGGTATTTTATGCAGATCTCTTACCTACAGCATGTTTGAGAGAATTTTGAGATGTCAAAACCATTTTTTCAGGAGCTAAAAACCATTTAACGTCTATACTTCAGGAACATCATTAAAATACTGATTGTGAAATATGCAAAGTGGTTTTAGGGATATTGATCATAACCTTTTCCTGATTTTCTTTTTTTTATTGAATGAAAAAAAATAACTTTCAATAATAGAGAAAATTAAGAATACAGTTTAAGATGTATTTCTAGATCATGATTTTGTAAATAGGTTGGTAAAAGCTAGAATGGAATCAATCCCAGGCATCAAGAGGGAATTAGACATTGGAACTTTTATTTTCTCTTATGACTGGCTTGAACTGAACTATGCGTGTGTGTGCACAATGCACAATGCTTTATATATATCTGTGTATATGTATATCATATATATATAATATACATATACACACACATTTAAGATGCTTTAATAAAAAGCATATATGTCCTTTAGAATGACTATTAATGTCTTTGTCCCTAGGATCAGAGGTGGTTGATCTTGATGGAAAAAGTTCCCTTCTCTACAGATTTGACCAAAACTCCCTGAGCCCAGTAAAGGATATTATTTCTTTGAAATTTAAAACTATGCAGAGTGATGGAATTCTGCTCCACCGGGAAGGGCAAAACGGAGATCACATCACACTGGAATTAAGAAGAGGAAGGCTCTTTTTACTTATTAATTCAGGTAAAGTTATTTGGTGAAGTACTTGAAAAATCTGGCCATTTGGATATCACTTTAATAACTTTATATTTTTATAGCTTCTCTTTTAACAGTTAAGGTGCCTTATTTCCATATTAGAGGGCTTATATGTACACCAATATTGTACTTTCATGTACAAATGGCTCATATTTTGCAAATTGTACAAGACCCTCATTTGATATTTTTTACAAAGTACCAAGAGAACTACATAGCTCTTTTCAAACCTCATGAAGAAAGGGATGGGTCATTGAAAAATACTGAGGTATTAAATATAATGAGGTTGTTGCAAAGATAAAATTTACATGGCCAATGAGCATGTGATGGGAAATACTAATAAAAAGAATTAACAATGGAAGAAATTACAACAGGGTTGAGAGGATATTATATTCAAACTTCAGGTGGATCCATACTAGTGTCTTTGTGGAATGCGAGGAAGGAGATGGCAATTGTAACGAGAGATGCTGGTCCACAAGGGGAAACTTATTTTTTTTTTTTAGACTGGGAGTCATGGTGCTGTTACTGTTTTCTCTTCTCAGGTGAAGCCAGACTGCCCTCAGCGCACACGCTCATCAATCTCACCCTGGGCAGCCTGATGGACGATCAGCACTGGCACTCCATGCTCCTCCAGCGCGTGGGCAGACAAGTCAACTTTACAGTAGATGAGCACAGGCACCGTTTCCACGCCCAGGGAGAGTTCAGTTACCTGGACCTTGATTATGAGGTGTGATAGTTATGTTTCAATAAATACAGATTTTTACAACGTATATGTTGGGGAGTCATGCAAAAGAAAATACACCGTAGGGAGCACCCCTCCCCTCTTTCAGAGGAAATCCAAGTCCTGGAGAAGTGTTTCCCAAGGTGACCTGACTTACAAGAGCAGACTTGGGCAGATACTCCTGACGCTTCATCTTCCTGACGATATGTTAATCTATTCTCACAGAGAGAGATTTTCTTTTTTATCTGAAATGCGTAGTCACAGATTATCACATGTAGGAAATCTCCAGGAGATCGTATAAGTGAATATAGAATGTGTTGCATGTTTTTTTTTGTTTGTTTGTTTGTTTTTGTTTTGTGTGTGTGTGTGTGTGTGTGTGTGTGTGTGTGCTGTCGGGCATCCTTGAGCAGTGTAGATTTATGGAGACATTGGAGTAATGAATAGATTATCAATCGATTAAAATGTGCAAATTACCAATATGTGCCGGAAATGTAGATAAAACAAAATGCCATTATAACCAGTTATGTTATTAAACAGAGCTTTACCATGGAGATAAAGCTGCCTTTTGATTCATCAACCAATAAACATCAAATCCAGATATGATTAGTAACTTGTAAGAATAATCAAGCTCTCGTGTAAATGAAAACTGAATGCATGTAAATTTGTTTTCAAATCTGCATTTTAATTTAAAAAAATATCCATATGAAATTAGCAACATGGCAGTGTAATGATGAAAAATTGATTAATCTGTGGTGATTAAAGCTATAGCTGCTAATCATAATTATTTAAGCAGGTTATCAGAAAATCACTAAACAATATTATTGATGCCATTTTTCTTTCTAAGATCAGCTTTGGAGGGATTCCAGCACCTGGAAAATCAGTATCATTCCCCCATAAGAATTTTCATGGGTGTCTAGAAAACCTCTTTTATAATGGAGTAGATATCATTGATTTGGCCAAGCGACAAAAACCGGAGATCATCGCTACGGTAAGAGAATCCTCATGTAAATGAATGAGTGAGACTATGTTACTTTTCCACACAATAAAACTGCTCCATTTTTGGATTCCCACTTGATACTATGTTTTAGAGATTACTCTTTTAAAAATTTTCTCTGCCTGGCAATATGCATAGAAAGGATTAATCCCATCTAACGAAATTATAATGCACAGGCCAGGATTATTTTTATTTTTATATGCAGTAAAGCATTTTTTCTTTTTACAGTTGGTAATTTAATTATGTGATGTTATTACTCCACGGGACTAATTTCTTTGCTGTGTAACTTCCTTAATAAGATATTCCCTGACAAACTCCCTAAATAAGCATACCAAGTTCCTGGAATTAGTTAACATCCATGTATATTAGAGAGGCATTTGAAAACCTGTATTCTGCCATGGTCATTCATAACAAATAAAAGAAACGAATAGGCTGTTACAACACTGCATCTGCCAGTCTGTCCCAATAGCAATGTTGGTCAGGGTGCATTATATTCTAATTCTGTGGAAATGCAGCAGATTTTAAATATGACTGTACTGGTCGGGGTTCAGTCAGGGAAGCAGCACCAGTATGAGTTTTATGAACAAGGGATCTATTTTAGGACTTGGATCTTAACAATTGTCAGAGGAACTGGAATGTGGAGGGCAGCTGTCAGGAAGAAGAGACAGAGCAGAGTGAAGGAGAGCCAGGACAAACTGGAACAGACCAGCTTCTCTGTGATCATCTTTCACTGTGTTTTGTCATAGGAAAAAAAATCCTTTGGAAGGAAATGGCTGGCATCTCACTTTTGACTCAAATACCACAGACGCTTCATTTTGGGCTAACTCTTCACCAGAACCAGGCATGGAAGGGGACTCTAGGAAACATGGTTTCCAGTTTAACCATGATAGAAAAGCCGACACACAGATCCATTTAAATACATTTCTTTAATTGTTCAAAATTGAGGATGTATCCATGTAAGCTCGTGCTGTGTCAGCCAATACCAGAGCATATCGTGGGAATATTTACTGTTTACCAAAGATTTTATTCCTGATTCTCTGTGTGTGAGTTGGTAGTATTTATGGGAGCATACCATCCAGAAAGATTTTTAGTTATTTTTTTTTATAAAAGGGAAGATGATTTAAAAGGAAAATAAAAATACTGTAGATAGATGTGTATGTTTCATTGGCAAAGGAGTTTCCAGAAACTGCTCGTGCAGCTAACACCCACTTTTCACAGGCAAGAGGATTTGCTGTTTGCAGGGTAGAGGGTAGATGTCCAAATGCAGCATCAGCCCAAACTGCCTCTGGTAAAATGTTTCCAGTTTTACGAGGTTTGTTAGTTTCTAATTGCCTTTACATTATGGGTCAGTGTAGTTTACTCTCCCGCTTTTGTTATTTAATTCACCGGGACAATATATTTGTCCACAAGGAAAGCTAATTCGCTTTTAACAGAATCACAGTATAGCCAAATATTTTTGTTTATCCAAGACGAATGGTTTAATTCCAATGTGTATCCTTCTAGGTAAAGTCGATTTCACTGACTTTTCAAATCTGTATTTGGAAAACATGTTAAAGATTACTTTTAGGAAAAATAAATACATTTATTGTCATTTCTGTAGCCTGTGAAGGAACGTGCTTAATTATTTCTAAATAATTCAGACCTTAAAGTTTTTTAAATCCTTAAATATCTATCTATTTTACTGTACGAGCAGAATAATTTATATATATATATGTAGTATTTTAATGAAAATTTATGCAATTCTAAGGTATCTTGAAGATCTATTATAAAACCATTAGATGAGAAATAATATATGTTAATCTGATGATACAGGCATAATGATAAGAAAAGGCCAAAAATGTTTTAAAAATAAAGAAATGTTGGGATGTCTTGCTGGCTCATCTTGATCTTAGGGTTTTGAGTTCAAGCCCCATGTTAAGTGTAGAGATTACTTAAAAATAAAATCTTTTAAAAAATAAAGGAATGTAAGGAATGCATTACGCATTGAGTGTCCAGTGTAAAACATAAAAGGAAAAATGTGCTAAGGATATAAACAGACCGTTCTGAGGAAAGCTGGTCCAAAAGAGTCACAAACTCGTGAAAAATGCTCAGATTCACTGTTGGTCAGGTAAATGCAAGATAAATAAAAATGATCTATCGTGTTGCCATTTTGTCATTGAACTTGTGCAGATTTAAAAGATCTATAATACCTATTCCTGCCAAGGATGTGAGGACAAGGATATTCTTGTATATTGCCAGTGGAAATGTGGAGTACTTTAACTTCTTTTGGGAAAAGAAGCTGGAAATATTTATTAAAACATATAGGTATATATAGTTCTGTATTTAGAACCCTCTTCTGTAGAACTGAAAATACACATAGGAGCATGGGGAGTTATTTATTATAGCATTATGGGAGGGGCAAAACCTGGAAACAAAGGATAAGCATATTAACAGGAAAACGACTGAGTAAAAGTTGGACTATTCACATAATAGAATATTATGCAGTCAACAAAAAGAAGGAATTAGATGTATGCCAGATAGCTCAAAAGGATTTCCATAAGGTATTTTTAAAGTTCTAAACATTTAGCTCCTATTTTTGTAAAATAAATAATACTTAATGTGCGGGTATATTGTCAACATATATCTTAAGTGTGTGCTTATGTACATATAACAGAACATAAAACTGAAACTATATATACATATATTACATGTAAATAAGAGATCCAATGGGAAAAGAGAAAAATATGAAAAAATACAGAAGGAAAAACAGTAGCTCATTAATATTGGGTACATTATGGGGTGGCTTAGAACCAAAGGCATCAAAGGATGAAGGAGAAAAGGATTTCACCCAGAGCCCAGGGAATGGAAAGCCAAGGAAAGATAAAAAACAAAAATTGGCTTAAATAAATTTTATTGACTTCAGTGGCATTGAGTTAGATGCCTTTATAGAAGCTGAGAGCTGGGGGAAAACGGATTTTACCAAGAACCCAGGGAAAGATTTGCCTGACCATCCTATCACAGGAGATGAAGAATCTTTCAGCTATACGGCAAGGATTTGAATCTTCATGTTGTTAGCAATTTGTTGTTGTTTTAAACCAAGGATAATTTGAGATCGATAAACAGCCTTTGTGAATACTCCCATTTCTATTAGTAAAATGATGTGAGCCATTCTTAAAGCTTTTTCTTTTGCTTTCTTCCCAGGGCAATGTGTCGTTTTCCTGTTCACAATCACAGTCTGTGCCTGTGACTTTTCTCAGCCCCAAGAGTTACTTAGCCCTGCCAGGCTTTTCCAGGGAGGACGAGCTTTCGGCCATGTTTCAAATTCGAACCTGGAATAAGGCAGGACTTCTGCTATTCAGCGAACTTCACCTGGTTTCAGGGGGTCTCCTCCTCTTTCTTAATGATGGAAAACTTAGGCTGAATCTCTACCAGCCAGGAAAATTACCCAGTGACATCACAGCAGGTAATAAGTGTGTTCCTGCAGGCAAAGCATATGGGTTTGAAAGATTTCATTATCTCTCGGTCCCTTTTCCATAAGATTTTATGCATAACCAAAAATCAGTATTTGTTTAATAAATGAATACTTGAGTTAATAAGATTATCAGTGCTCTGCCTTACAGGACCTTGATTCCAATTTCCTTTTAAATATGGCTTCGACACTAGCAGTTTTTATTAACCAAACGATAGTTACAGGGGAATAGAAGTGTCCTTTCATGACCCTCTTCTCTTGCCCACTCCAGATAAGTGACTATATTCTGAGGAAAAGTATTTTGGGAAAAAATGTGAAGGACTTTGAAATGGACCCAAAAGTTTACTGGGCATCTTCATGGAAGAGTAGGCTCTGTCTAACACAGCTATTAGCCTTATCTGCTCTGTGAGTGAAAGCGAGAGGTCTTTCTTGGATCTGGATCTCTATTTCTAGATTTGTGTGTGATGTGACTTCATTTGCTGATGTATGCTGTACAGAGTTGGATAGATTTGGGGAGGATGGAAAGATTCATGTGAAGTTCTCCATTTGGGCACCAAATAGGATTCTCTCCACTTCCAGGCAATACGGTATCACAATGATTTGAAGTAATATAATTAAGGAGACTGTATGAGTATCTGGAAAATTAATGTCTAATTTAGGTCAGTGCTTTGGGTGAGGGATATTTTTGTCTCTTCATTAAAATTATATAGTTCTTGACAAGGGATCTCCATCACATTTTCATATATGTGGAATAACACCCAAGCCAAGCAACTAGAGGTCACATTGGGGTAAATTGCTACATCAGTTCAATAAATGATCTTAAAAAAAAAATCAAAGATGCCATTGTAGTACTCCTTTATATTAACTATGACCAAATTAATACATATGACTGAGAGAGGAAAAACCAGGTAGATTACAGTCAGAAACTAAATATAGGAAGAACAAGTATACAAATGGATGCATAAATGCATAGTCTTTATGTATCTTTTTGTTGTTCAGCATATCACTGCAGTTTAAATGTGGGAGCTGAAAGTTCAATATTAATTATAATTTTTAACAGCCACTATGTTGTGACTTTTTAATGTAATGCTGAAAATGTGGTAGATTTGCACGCTTGACAAAAGGAAATAAATTAATCAGTGCCATATGAATAATTAATAGGCTCCCTAAAATGAGGGCCTAAAACTGTAAGCTTGTCATTAATGTGTAGTTTATTGTGATTTATTTGACATCGTAAGAAGTGGTTATATTCATAGCCTTCTTTCAAAATCTTAAAGAAACTGCTTCAGTACAGTGTTACTATAGTGCGCCCCATGAAGTCAGTCCGTTTCTAAACACATTACAGGCAGGAATATTTATTAAATTACTAGGCATAGGTCTGTATAGAATACTCTGAATGATTTAAAAATCTCTAAATTAATGTTTAAATTCATATATAATATAACCCATTATGGCATCAGAGGACTCAGTGTGACTGTTTCCATAGCTTAATAACAAGGAGTCTTGACTATGGATGAATGCCAAGTTAGGAAAAATCGTTATACTTCAGATTATACAAGTAGGCCTTGACTTACCAACTCTCCCACTCCCATTCTTCCAGTTTCTTGAAAAATATTAATTTTGGCCAATTTCAGTGAGGCAAGCACCTTTTGCACTTGAAAATATAGTGTGTAAATGGTACTGGGTGGGTGGGTCATTGGTTTTCTTCTGGGGGAAGGCTTTCACATGTACAATGTTCAAGAATTAAGTCCTTTGTCAGAATGTATTATAATGACTGCTTAAAGGGAATCAAATATTTATTGACGGATTTGTATATTATGTCAAAGCTTTGCATTCTGTAAGGGTGGCTCAGTTTTTCTTAGCTCCTGAAGATACAGATCACTAATCTTACATGTTTTAAAAGATCATAATTTTTCTATCTTTTGCAGTGGAATAAAAATGAAATTGTGTTGAGAAAGAACAGAATTGTCCAATCTTTGAATTAGCAGGATAAATTTTTAATGTGATACACAGTTTGGCAGATTGTCACTTGGAATTCTTTGAAAACACTGCGTCAGCCTGTATAGTTTTTGAAATATTAAAGATACTAGTCTGAATAATGAAAGATATTAGCAGTATTACAGAATTCTTCATGACACAAAATATTTCCAGTATTTGTCGCTTTTATAGATGTCAAAACAAAAATCGTTCAGACGGCATCAAGGACCCAACAAACAGCGTGCTTATATTTTCCTATTTAAAGCAAACTCATTATTGTAGGATTTGAGATTTCTGCTATGGTTTAGCATTTCTGCTTCTGCTTTTGCCTATGAAAATCAGGCCTATAAACCGGCTTCTTGCTCTTATGCGCAAGGCCTGGCGATGTGGGGTTGCAGAATAAGAGATATTTCTGGCATTTTTCATTTACTAGACCTTCGATTCTTGTGGCCCTGGCAGAAGAGCAGCCTTCTTGATTTGCCTAACCCAGGAGAAGCCTTGTTTTATCCCACCTTCTTCCCTTTCATTGTTAGCATATCCCTACCTTTCAGATTGTAAACCTGTCACTCCCGGAAACTCCCTCTTTCTTCTGAAGTGATTGGCACCAGTGATCTCCCTATTTCCATCTTGACAAGAGCCATCTGGTTGTCTGGAACTTTAGTTCTGGTTAGTGACTATAGTTAATGGATACAGGAATTTCTGACACTGTTTCAGAGCACTTAAAGATATTTAAGAACAAGAAAAACCTTTAAGTTGCTCCTTGAGCAAGAGCCTACGTATTACCACCTTTGCACCTTTGCAAAGAACCTACCCTGTACAGCGGGCTTTTTTTTTTTAATAAAATCTTATTTCATGGATGCCCATCACAGTCTTGTGAGACAGTGATGGTGGCTAAGCTGTCACAGTTTCTTTGTAGCAATTTAGGGTTGGTACCAGAAGATTGTGTACAAGGACAGATGTAAGTCATTTTCCTCCTTCTGTATTTTGTGTGTTTATGTGGTTGGACCTAATTAGGGGAGAAAAAGAGAGGGAGGAAGAGAGAGAGAGAAAGGAGGAGGATGGGGAGAGGAAGGGAAAAGGAAAGAGAGGAAGAGAGTTCTGGTAAACAGTCGTGTTCTCCCCTGCTACATATAATTGCCAACACTTCTATTTATTTTTCTATTCTTTCATTATTCCATTTAGAGCTGTCAATGCTTTCCACCAAAAGTCCAAAGTGAATGTACCTGTAATTGAATGAGTTGGGTTTATTGATTATCGTGGCAAGGAGAACACACACCCTGGGGAGCCATGGGCGTGTCTTAATATAGGGTGTTAAGAATGATTTATTGGAAGATTTTGGGTTGTTAGCTTATTTGCGGGGAGATTTCAAGGAAATGGAAAATTCCTCTGGATTAAATGCTGCTAGGAAGTGAGGCTTAGCAACTGTGTGATGAGGTGTCTTTATAAATCTTCTCTAGGATGGAGGAATGAAATAAGGCCAAAGCTGTAATTGGTAATTGGTATAAAAATAAATAAATAAAATCGGTTGTCATTCATATTATCCAGAAGATGAAGTTTGGTATTTTTGTGGTTTTCTCAGTAGCCTGTTATTGTCTGGGCTTACACAAGATTATAAAGTCATCTTGACTTTCTTTCTTTTCTTTTCCTTTTTCTTTTCTTTTCTTTCTTTTCTTTTTTTTTTTTTTTTTTTTTGGTCCAATTGCATTGTCATCACAGAGTTGCCTTGATTAATGTTGGTTTCTATGAGATTGTGCTCAGTGGGAGAACACCAAGGCCTAGCCCGGTGTGCCTACCAAAGTCCCATACCACCAAGGCTTTGTTCAGAATGCCAGGCTACTTCCTCACTATTTGGGGGCTGCTTTTCACTTTCTCAAATTTAATTATTTATAAGAGCAAAAAAATAAAGGGACTGCTTGTCCTGCAGGCAGAGAAGAGTATGGGTTTTGGAATCAGCTTACCAGCTGGACAGTACCGTGGATAATTTGTTCTTACTTGAGCCTCATTTTCCCCATATTTAAAATGAGCATAATACTAGCAGTGTTGAAGATTAAATGTACAATGCATGTAAAGCACACAGTACTTTTTATGAAATCCATAAAAACTGTTATTTTTTTTTATTATACACACAACAGGCCCCTCCCCCAGATTCAAAACTTAGGAGGGGTGGGAGCAGTCCTCGAATTAGCATTTACTTACCTAACATTACAAACAAGAAAAAGTACAAATTCTGTGATTCTTCTCCTTCCCTTCTTTCACAGCGATGTGGTCTTTTAAGGGGTTCCCTCTCATCAGACCTAAAAGCGGGAAGGAGTTGTACACTTAAAAAAAAAACAGAACCTAATTTTAAAATGACCCTTTTATTATGTCATGTTAAGAGAAAGAAACTTGTGCGACTTTTCATGGTTTCATTTACATAATAAAACCCACTGATGGGTAACAAGCCTCCCTCTCAGAAGTCAGTGGTGTCTGTTGTAAAGGAGGCTTGGGAAGAGCTTTCCAGTGGCTCCCCTACAAACAGTGCACAACTTCACTACGTGCTAGCTGGTGAGGTGGGTGACTTCACTGGGTCAGATGACAGAGCCAGAGCTGCTGTCCTAGCAGTCTTTTGGTCTTAATCTAAACTGCCTTCTGTATTGACGGAAGAAATTCCCGAGCTTTGACTTTAACCCCGCAGTCTGCATCACCCAGCAGATACCCGGAGCACAGCTACTCAAAGTTTGGTCCCCGCACTAACACCCATTCAGTGAAATATTTGTTTCCAAGAGGAGCATAAAACTCGGCGTTAAGTTCTAAGAACCTGTCAGAGCAATAAGATCTTGCCGTGCCATCCAAACACATGGACGCTGAGCTTGTATTTTTGGTCTTCTTTAATTTTTACTAACTAACTTGCTCTCAATTTTATGAAATTATCAGTCTGCTCTAGGCCAGGAAAGAAAGTTTATCAACACACGCAGTTTGAGAAGCTTGGTCCTGGACCGGTAAAAAGCCTAAGATAAGATAACAGAAGCAAAGTGATGTTTACAGGCGTGTCCAGTCTTCAAGAGAGCCAATAGGAGGCCGTGGCCGTGCATGGTGGCGGAGGGAAGGTGGGAGGTGTCTTTGGGAAGGTGGGAGGTGTCTTTGCATGTGATGCAAAGCTCAGTACAAGGACTTTCACTCTAAATGTATCCTCTTAAAGGAAGCTCTAGATGACAAATCTGGGGCATTTGATCTATTTTAGTCCGATCTCATACCGTCAGGGATTACGTAACTCTTCAGTCGTCTATTTCCAGAGCGCACTCTTAGAAAATGTGTCTAAAAGTATCTAACCTACATTTTTCATTTTTCAGTTTTCAGGTCTTTCTCATTATCTTTCACAAACCGAGCCAGTTGGGTCTTTGCAAATCTTTTTTGCTTCCTGGATGTAGTATAAAAATGAGCTTCAGTGCCCAGGATGGAATTTGCGTTATACTAAATAAATCCAGAGCAAAGAGCTTAATCGCATAAGAGAGCTTCTACGCATTTTCTGTCTGAAAGCCCGTGGTCAAAAATGGCTGGGGAAGTAAAGAAATTGTACATTGTACATAATATCAGAAAAGAGGCCATGACCTTTAGGTTTAATATTTATTAAATATTTAATATTTATTTTAGTTTACTAATTTGATACACAAAATCAGAGAGCATTGGGTATTCAATGGATATAAACCTTACTGGTAAATCCACAATAGAGATGCTTAGCTTCCACCTGTCTGCTGATACTCAAACACAGAGCCTTTGTAGACTTAATTCCCTTTAAGAAGGAAAGGGCTAAACCATCTCATGGGTTCATCGAACTAGAGCTGCCAGGGGAGGGATGGGAGATTGTTTTTTAGAGGTGAAGAGAATACTTTGATTTTTGATTAATGCAATTTTTGGTTATAGAATCTTGAAAAATCCAGGGAAAATATAAAAGTGAATAAAAACCACAATTTTCCATTATGCAAAATTACTGTTTCTGTACAGGGATATTTCCTTTCAGCTCTTCCCCATATTTATACAAAAATGTAGGACTATCATTAGATTTGTATATATATAGTTGATTCTCACTATTTGCATTAGTTATGTTGTGTAAAGTCATCGTGAACATTGAATTAGCAAATATTGAATGGTATTGAATGGTTACCACTCCTAGGGGAGTTATAGGGTTAGGTTCCTGTGACCTTCTGATCACAACATTTTTGTTAACCAGTCAATATATAACCTTGCTCTCTATGTGATTGTGTCAAGTTACCTTATTTGATATGTATTGTTGATCCATTAACATTGAACTCGTGACCAGCTGCACTATAACTAATGCCTGAATGAAGTTCATTTAACGTGTGTATTTTCTCTGAGAGGCACCATTACAGCCTTCTTGCATTTAGAAACACCAGACGGTACTTCATCACTACGCCTGGGGTCTTTTAAATGGCAAAATCACTAACCAAAAGCCCAAAAATGTGGGAAATGTGCTTACCTATGAGAGCCCTAACAAGCGTTTGCTTGTTTAACCTCCTCTGGAAACACATGTGTCGGTCAACTCAATTTATTCACTGCTCTGTGCGTTTTAGTGATTGATTCCAAAGATGCCCTGAGTATTGATTTTGGGGTTAAAAATAAATTATGGTGAGTATGTGAATTTGCAAATATGGAATCTATACACCATGAGGATCGACTATGTAAATGTGGTTTCACACACTGCTTTAATTTTTAAGTTCATATTATATGGGAAATTCTTCAATATTCATTACAGTAATTTTTTGTAATGATTGACTTGATATATGTTGCTAAATATATAATATTATAAAAGATGACTACACAAAATGTAAAAAAGCAGATACATCATTTTATTGGGTCTAACCTAGAATTCTGGAAAATATGCTTTTCCTAAAGCCCTCCCTGTAAAAGATAAATTACATGATGGAAGCTAAAAACTGTCCATGCCAAATAATTGAAAGATTTTTAACCACTTAGGACTTTGCCCAAAGTTGGGGATTCTGTGCTTTTTATTGAGGCCCTAAGAAAGGAATAACACACCATTTTCCACAAGAGGATACCCACTTGCCTCCTTTTCCTGTCTTTCTGTATCCTTTTATTAATATACTGAGTGCTACGGGCGATGTGTACTTTGTTTCTGACTAACTGCTTATACTGTTCACTGTTGAGAGAGATCTCTTGTAACTGGTTTTGTCTCCCCCAGGTGTTGGATTAAATGACGGGCAGTGGCATTCCATCTCTTTATCTGCCAAACGGAATCACTTGAGTGTGGCCGTAGATGGCCAAGTGGCCTCTGCCACTTCTTCCCTGGGGCCCGAGCAGATTTATTCAGGTGGTACCTATTATTTCGGAGGTAAGAGAAGCAGTCAGGCCATACGGGCAATTGACCCATATTTGCAATTACTCCTTCCTTTGTCTTGGAGATGTCATCATGTTTTAACCAATTCAATAGTATGGAATAATTTCTCACTTTCTTTGAATGTGGAAATGTTGAGTGAATCAAGATGACCAATTATGACCTAAGATGCATTTCTTAGAGGCGGATCTACTTATGTTTACAATTTTGACAATGAGAATGATTGCAAATAGACAACCCTCTTCCATACTTACTTTCCAACTTTGTTATATTTTCCTAGTGTTAAATGGTTCTTATATGGTTTTTTCAGATTTTATGGGCTGATTTATTGCAGTATTTTCCTGCACATGGCTCTTAGCTCCTCTGGAGCATCCTTATTGCTTTCCTACTGCCCAATGCAGAAAGGCAATATTATGCCAATGGCAAATAATCTAACCTAATTAGCCATAGAAACCTCTGTTCATTGCTCAGTAATAATGCACTGATACATTTGATGAAATTAGGGCATCAACCTTCAACACCAGGCCATCTCTCCAACAGAACAAAAACAAATGAAGCATTTACCTGCCCTGGATGTTTGATTGAACTAAAAGCGTGGAAAAGAAAACCTTGGAAATGGAAATAAATCTTTACCACTGGAAAATTAAAATAAAATGTGATTTGCCATTAGAAAGGCAAAGTTGTAAAACTGGTAGTAGTAAGACTTATTTCTAATCATGATTTGGTGGGTTTCTTATTGCTGTTATTTTGAATTTTAATAGTCACCTCTGTGTAGAATCACTTTTGAATTTGGTGGCAGTAGCCCAATCTTTATTATTCATCAGTACAATACAGATTTCTTCTAAGAATTGAGAGTAAGCACACAGACGGTGCATTAGTCATCCAATACTAAGAACAAACAAACACTTTCTGGGCTACCCAGGGAGGGGTCCATGTCGTAACTGATGTCTGGAGCCCTCGATGTCCTGCAAATGAGGGAGGAGGATGTCCTCAAAGTCCTCGCAGCAGGAACCCACTTGGGTGGCACCAACCCTGACTTCCAAATGGAACAACAGTCCATCTGCAGAAGGAGGGGTGATGGAGGCCACCTCATGACTCTGAGGAGGAACTGGGAGAAGCTTCTGCGGGCAGCTCCTGCCACTCCTGCCGTTGAACACGTGGCTGATGTCAGTGTCCTCTCATCCAGGAATCCTGGCCAGCGCTCTGGGCTGAAATCTGCTGCTGTCACTGGGACAACTCCTACTCCCGTCCCCTTCACTCCTGGAACGTCCACTAACCAAAGGGAGGCAGCCTTCTGGGAGCTAGACTGCTAGTGGTGACCTATCCCCGGGCTGACCACCAGCCTCTCACAGGGGCGTTCACCTGCCCGCCACCGTTCTGTGGAGCACAGGGCTCTCTTCCGTGCTCTGTGGACAGCTCTATCCCGTGCAAGAACATGGGAGCTCTCTCCGTGGGTCCGAGGTGGCGGATGCTGGCCGGGGGTGTTGTGCGCATGCGTGGCCCCATTTCCCGTGACCACCCGGGCGAGGCGTGCGTGGTTCCTTCTCCTCCAGAGTTGCCGCGGGCTTGACTAGCCAGCGCGCACGGCGCCTGAAAAGGCGGTGACCAAGGAGGGCTGGGTGGACCGCTCCAGCTCCTGAGCCCGCCGCAGCTCAGCCTCGGCCTGACGTCGCAGGCGGCTCTGACCGCGGGCAGGCGCCCTCCGTGCCCGTTTCCTGCTGAAGGCGGGAGCGCCCAGCCGCACCCTGAGCACTGGGCTGCGGCCCTGCGGCTCCGGCCACTGAACGCGTGGGAACGACACCTGAGGCGTCTCGAGCTGCTCTTCCACACAGGCAAGCAAAATGGAAATGAGGTCGAGGGAAAATAAACAGTTTCTTTATTAAAAAAAAAAAAAAAAGGAACAAAGGAAACCCCTGCCAAATCCGTTGCTGTGAATGGCAGCACAGCGGCAAGACGTTCAAAGATGTAGTCGCCTCCTTTCCTGAGGTTTGTTCATTTCCGAACCGAGTTGTTTATTAAACCTCATGGAATAGGTGGTTGATTTTATGGCAATCCATAGGAATGCATTCCTTTAATAAATGGTAAGATATGGGGAGCAAATTAAGAGCTTTCACTTCAAAGGAAAAGATTTAGAAGCACTAAAAGGTTTTAAAAACAGGCATATTGTTAAATGTGAAGAAAAAAGACTAGATAAAATGAATAGACTGGATAAAAGTATAAATCAAGGAAATAGAATCCTCGTTCTTAAAGTATTTCGCATCCCTCGTGTTCATATTTAACGATGCCTACCCATTTTTTGCAGAAAATGTTTATTGCTGTTATTCATTCTGTTATATTTTATGGTGAAATGTATCATATGTGCACACTGTAGTTTTGCTTGTTTTTATTATGGTACAAATGATACACACTATTTTATCTAAATAAACTTTTAATCTTCGAATAGTTTTACACTTATGAAAAAGTTGCAAAGATCGAGAGTTCCCATATTCCCTGTACCCGGTGTCCTTGGAAGTTTACCTCTTACATTATGTGCCTTTTAAAGGGTACTAATTAGAATACTATGCATATCTACATGTGTATTTCCCAGCCTAGAAATATAGTATTATCAACATTCATTTGCCCCTCCAGGGTCCTATCTCTTCATCTCCCCAAGTAAACACTGTCTTGAATTTGGGGTTTATTCTCCCTCTCCTGTTCTTTATAATTTGGCATCTATTAAGGTGTCTCTGAGTTCCTAACCAATATACTGTGGAAGCTTCTGTAAGGACTTAAAAAAAAAGAAATCGCCATCCCAGGTTTACTTAGGTATCTCTGTTTAATCAATCATCTCAATTGGTGTTCTTTAGTTGAACATTTTGGACATGAGATTCTACTGATCAAAGAGCACACGCCCTGCACATTCTAGGGCAACCTAACATTTCCAGGGTGGGAACACGAGGCAAAAGAAAGCAGGAGGCCTTCTCCTGCCCTACTCCTTTCTTCTCTTCCTGGACTTGTGGTCCAGAGACTGGTAGAAGAGGTCCATCCTTCTGGAAGCCCACTTAGGGCTTTGGGCTGGCAATTCTGATTCGGGGAGTAGACTGGAGGAGAGTGGGATGACCAACTCTTTCCAGTTTTATCGCTGGATGCTGTGAGTCCCAAGGAAAACTGTCACAGCTGTTGGCCCTAGAAGACCTTCTGCTCTGTGTGCATGAGAGCCTCCTCTAGTACTAGGATCCATATTATCTAGGTGGAAGGTTCTTCTTAAGTTTTTAGTTCTTCAGCTGGTTTATCTTCAAGTAAATAAATATCCAATGTTTTGAGATACTTCCCTTCACTTCTTTTCCCCAACTCTCTCAATTCAGCTGCTGCTTTCCAGTGATCTTATCAGCCTATAGTTGGCGTAACCTGGCTTCAGTCTCTTCCACCAACCTGCATTGTCCCTGTGTTCTAGGCCAGACTTCATAGTGATAGTCATGTTGGTGGAGGGGGCTGTTCAGAAATCACAGCAGTCCACGTACGCCATGTCATCCTCCATTATCCATCCATCGTTTTCCAAAAGCAGCTTCTCCCTCCAGCTGAGGGCTTTTCAAAACCTCGGACTGCATTGTGGTGCATGGTACTCAGCTTGTGTCATTTATAAATTCTAAATTTTAAGAATGTGTTCTCCAGATTGTGGGCAGGTAAACACCTAATTCCAGCAGTATTCCCCCGTGTGATCTTTGTGCTGTTGATAACACCCTGGGCAGCGCAGACCAGAGGCACTAGACCTTGTGCAGAATTCTCACACCTCCACTTGGGCAAAGCAAACATTCTCCATCCATGAAGTCAAGCCGACATCTTACTTCTGGTGCGGTGACACCGAGTGATAATTTATGTCATCCTTAGAGGTGCTTCACATGCTGACTGCCTCCAGTAATGGATCCATCCATTAACTCAGCATTAAGTATTCCCCAGAAATCTTCATGTTTTAGAACTTCCATCTCGAATGGCTTCAGTGCTGAACTTCTCTCTGCCATTGCAATCTATTAACTTGTGGTTGCCTGTTATCGTAGACTAATGAGACGAACCTGGCTTGAACCCTTCTTTATTCCTAAAATCTCTTGCTTATTAAACATTGTAGGTGGGAATATGAAGTGTCTAATGGTATGACGATGTGCTTTCTGTAAAGTTCCGTAATCTTTCTTTGTCACTGCATTTGCTTAGTTTTATTCCCTACAGGCACATTGCACAATTTATTTTATTCTGAAATGGTTTGAAATGTGTCAGGAAACACTACCTGGAGGAAAGGAGATTAGCAGAGCTGTTTATATTCCTGGCATATTGTAGTCGCCCCCAAACGTTACTGAACTATTATCCTCTCAGTTTTTACTTTAACATTCTTAATTGGTTAATAAGTCATCTAGAAAACATATCGAGGTTATGATAACCATATCCTACACCACAGAAGAATTTTAAGCACTGAAAATGTGTGTCATACCATGTACAGTAGATTGATACTCCAAGAGCTCTCATCACCTTTTCTTGATATATCAAATTTGAAACTTCGAAGTCTCCCTTGGTTAAAATATGATATTCCAATGTACCTGATAACCATTTTAAGTATGAATCCTGGCCTTTACTTACCATGTTAATGTGTTTTTTTTAGGAAAGCAAGCATTAAGGAGAAGTATTGTCAGTCACAATAGTTATAATTAGGGAAGAGTGTGGATTGTATAGGTGGAAGAAAAAGAATGTGGATTGCGTAGGAATTAGGAAGTTGCTGATTCATTTCTTATTCTTCAAACTGTAATAGTGCTTGACAACCATAACAGCAGAGAAAGATTAATGAAAAATACATAAGTATAATATATGTGTTCATACTCCATAAAATTATTTATTTCACTTGGCTAGAGAAACACTTAGAATGTCATTAAACCCCAGAGAATAATGGTTAATAATATAGTTCTTTATTACTGAAATAATTAGAAACAGGTCTTAGATAAGTGTTAGGAAAAAATCAATATAAATGGAACATTCTTTTATGAGGCAAAGAATAAATAAAACCACAGTGAAATGTTTTTGACATTAAGTCATTATGATTTATTAAAATGCATGTGTGTATGGCTCTTGTATGCATATGAAAATATTTAATTAAATCGTTGGTAATTTTATTCCAAGTCAACACAGCTCCTTTCCCAAATAGTTAGCTTTAAATAACAAGGTATTTCTCTGTTACTGATTTATCTTTTCTTATCTGAAGTGCACATTTTCGATCTTTATTCCCTTTTTTGCATCCCAAAAGATTTCCTGTGTTTAATATGTCATTTATATAATGATAATATATAGGATATATAATTATAACATAATTATTATATATATTATTAATACAAAGTATTTCTCTTTATTACCATAGGGTTCACATGAAATAATATTATAATAATTGTCATATTTATAATTATTTATAAATATAATGAGATATAATTATATATCTCATGCAAACCTTATGGTAATAAAGAGAAATACTTCGTATGAACTGCAGTATGTCATTTAGATCACGCTAATGTTGACTACGAGGTGCTCTTCTTCCCACTTTTAATTTTGAGAAATTAACCAAGTACCTCTTTCTTTTCTTTTTTCCTAATGAAGTCATCTGTGATACTGAATCCTGATTCATTATGATATATCCTGACTTACTTTGTCTTGTTTTGTTTTGGTCAGGTTGCCCTGACAACAGCTTCGGATCCAAATGTAAAAATCCAGTGGGTGGATTTCAGGGGTGTATGAGACTCATTTCTATCGGTAACAAGGTGGTAGATCTGATTTCAGTTCAGCAGGGGTCCGTTGGAAACTTCAGTGACCTTCAGATAGACTCCTGTGGAATCACAGACAGGTAAGGGCAATCTCATTTCTTTACCTTGACCTGTCCATTTTCAGACTTTTGACAGCATATTAAAATTTATATTTAAAATGAATATGTTCTTAAACTTCTCTTTTCTGCCATCATCTGTTCCACGGGAAATGGATGACATTCACATTAGAAATAAGATGCTTTAAGAAAAGAAAAGAAGGGGCGCCTGGGTGGCTCAGTGGGTTAAAGCCTCTGCCTTCAGCTCAGGTCATGATCCCAGGGTCCTGGGATCGAGCCCCGCATCGGGCTCTCTGCTCTGCAGGGAACCTGCTTCCTCCTCCCCGTCTGCCTGCCTCGCTGCCTACTTGTGATTTGTCTCTCTCTCTCTCTGTCAAATAAATAATAAATAAAATCTTTAAAAAAGAAAAAAATACACTTTTAGTTTTATGCTTCATATTTCCAGGGATAAAATTTAGATGGAAGACGTGACCATGTTATTGATACGTACATATGCTATCAACTTACGAAAGGTAATGTTGATGTTGTTATAATTTTAGATGGGTGTAAATGTATCAAAAATATATCATTAAACGCAGTAAATTAGTACAGTCTAACCGTAGTATTGGTCACCACGTACCAATAAGTCAGAGATGGATGGAGCCAGTTATCAAAGTGTCTTTTGCTTCTCTGACAGCTGAGTAATATTTTCAGAAGCATAGCAATTTAACGGGTTGCTGTGCTCCTAATGTGTACCTTTAACAACCCATTACTATCTTCTCTGCAGGGAAAATAAAAAGAGCCTCTCCTCTGGAAAAGTCTGGAGCTGTAGTATTGATCAAGGTGTAAGGATGACCCAGTAGTTTCTATCAGAAGTCCAGTACAGGGCATGATAATGCAAGATTTGGAAGTTAGTTGTAGAGGACAAGTGACATTTAAAATAATAATTGATAGTTAATAATTAGAAAAGTGTTTTTAGGCATGGGCATATTAGCCAAGTAATCTTGCCAGTCATGCTTTAATATCAAGGGTGTTAATTTTAATTCTTGAGTTCAATGGAGTGTCATAGCCATTATAGATAAAAATTTAAGCAATGTTGTGACAGACTTAACCCCTACCCTGTAGTAGTGCTCAGTATATATTTTGAATGAATATAAATTCTGAGCTGTAAAAATAACTTTTTATTTGTATGAGACATTTTACCAATATAAACACACATCTATTATATGTAATATTATATATTATATATATTATATCTGATAGACCATTAGTCTGTCAGTGCCTGGGGATCCTATTTTGAACACTAATAGATACTGTGTTGTGTGTAGGAAAAAGTAATTTTAATCTCATTTAGCAAAGGATTAGAAGGCCTTACTTTCCTTTTTATGAATACGCATTTGTTTATTTAACCCGATTTGTAGATAAAAATAATCTTTCTACAATGAAAGATGATATGTAAAGGAAGGATTTAGACTATAAACCTCAATTGGCTCGATTTGGGGACTAACGGACAGTGACCTTCTTCAAAGTTACATCCACACCAGCTCTAGAACCTTAATCCCAGTTTGGGAAAGGGCATGTGGCAAGGCTCCCTGAGCCGGCTCTCTCAAGGCAGGCTCTCTTCTCAGTGGCTAACAGTCATTAGGTCCCCAGGGGCAAGTTCAGTCATCCACAATATTAGTGATAGTCATGTTGACCATCTCAGACTGCCGACAGTTCTCTCGGTACAAGTTGATCCACACTTCTCCAATGGGGATTTCTCTGAAGCTGCCCCCTTATACAAGTAATCTAGGGGAGATACACACTTATAAAATAGAGGATTGTGATACAGCACAGTAGAATGTATACACACAGGAGAATGTATAGTTTTAGTTCCACATCTGAAAAACAGAAATAGTAAGCAAATTACAGATAGATCTTGGCTATACATGATTTATTTATTTAAGAGAAACTTATGACTAATGGTCACCCTAGTAACCCTAAAAACAATAGCAAAAATCAAAGTAATTTTGGCATTTGTTTACCTTTTGAATTTCCAAAAGTATCTCTAAATGCATCCTCTTATATTCAGAAGAAAATATATATTCTTTATTTTGGTCTTATGTGCTATACCTATTGACGTAGCTTCCAAGCATTATTAAATAATGTCTTTTTAAAAATCTGTTTACCCGGGTGTATTCTAAGCACTTAACATGAATTAGTATTTAAGTTTGAACAACTCTGTGTAAGGATGATGTGAGTGTGCAAGAAGCCTGGGAATGCGTGTGTGAATGACCCACAAGTGTGTGCGTGTGTTGGGATAGCATGGTTGTGTGTGTGTGTTTGTATGAGTTAGTGTGTGACAAGTTGCGAGAGGGTGTGTGTGAGGACTTATGTGAGTATATAAGGTGCTTTTAGATATGTGAGTGAGCTTGTGAGTGTCTACATGTGTGTGAGAGACTGCGTGCAAGGACTGGGTTCTAAAATGGATTTTATTGATTAATTTTTTAAACTTTAAAGATCTAATTGGTTTATTAAATGATTTATGAGTTGGGCAGCGTCCCATTTAGCAGATAGAGGGGCCCTCCCTGAAATGAATTTTAAATTAATTAATATGTACTTAAAGTAATCCTCACGAAAACTCACGGGCTTTGTTCCTAGTAGTATTTGTTTCTAACAAATATGGAAGCCGATGCACATAGAGAGGAAGTTGGCCGAGAGGACATGGCTCAGAAGCAGAGCCCACACCAAATCTCAGTGCCCCAGGGCCGGGAAGGTCCCACGGAAGTGTCTGCCTGCTGAGCTGCATAGCCCCCAGGGGACACGTTCACATTTATTGTGGTTACTATTAATCTATGTATAGTAAACACATAATTTAATGGTTTAATAAATTGCAAATAAAAACACAAGAACATTAAAAACATACTTAAAAATCTGACAGGAACTGACAGTGTAGCTCTTTTTACTGTAACTTTTAGATCACGCCTACTCATAAAGGTGTACATATATTTACACAAATGCTCACACACTTACACAGTCATTCGCACACACTCTGTACACACATAGATGAATAGCCATTGCACACGCCTTCATGTGTATGTACACACTCGTGTGCTCACTCACACACCCCAAAGCTCTTTACCACACACAAACCTTACACATACACTCTTTATACACACATTCTCGTCCCTCCTCACTCATTAATCCATACATATGCACACTCACACACATGCACATACTTACAAGATCATTCCCACACCCCTTACACACTCACATCTTCCTTATGGAGTCACCCACACACACTCATCTAGAAGCCCTCTGTTTGTCCTCTGTGGACATGCAGGGGTGTGGCTCTACGCCAGAAATCTGGGTTGGGGGTAGTGGAGGGCTGAGGGCAGTCAGTCCCTTGGTGGAGGTGAGGATAGAACCACCAAGGGAGCTGCTGTCCATATCCTGTGTCCCCATGTAAATTATGAGCAATGAAAGTAATGATGGAAATGTCTACGGGAAAGTGTTGGAGGCTAAAGAGAATGGGTTGATGGGTTGTTTCACTTTGTATTGGCGTAACTAGTGAGGAGAAAAGTGCAAATTGTTTAGACATTGAATGAAAATCAGTACTTCACTATACAATGTAATTTGCCGTAGGTTACTAGTTGTCAAACAGAGCTAATATATGGTGAATGTATTTTGTTTTAAGATTTATTTATTTATTTGACAGACAGAGATCACAAGTAGGCAGAGAGGTAGGCAGAGTGAGAGGAGGAAGCAGGCTCCCCGCTGAGCGGAGAGCTGATACGGGGCTTGATCCCAGGACCCTGGGACCATGACCTGAGCCGAAGGCAGAGGCTTTAACCCACTGAGCCGCCCAGGCGCCCCTATATGGTGAATTTAAATAACATCCACAATCTAGGCTTCACACCGTAATTAAAAAATGTGAAAAGTCAAGTCTAACAAGAATCAGGGAAAATGAAGGCAGTATCTTTCAGCAGCAGCAAATCAAATAGAAACAGCACGTTTATCAGACTAATTATTCATTCTTTGGGATCATAGGTATAGACGCATATATCTGCTCCCTTTTAAAAAATGGCTGAGGTCTGTAAAGAATAGCCTGCTTTGTCCTTTATTTTTCTGATCACCAACTAGGATTATTATTGTTTTAATCTCCCTCTTTCTTTTAGATTGTTATTGGCTTGAAATGCTTCAAAAATTAAATACGTCCTGAAACATTCTTCAAATGGATTCCTCTGAATCTATAAAAATGCTAAAATATATGTAAACTTAGTTGGCAATGAAAGATGCCCATTACTTATTTGTGAATCCTTAAAAAAAGGTTGTAAAATAACATACAATTATAGTTATAAATACAACCTCACACGCAAATGAATGTATATAGGTTTATAGTGGTGATTTTTGTATATAGGGTTATAAACTATATTTCTTCCCTATTGTTTCCTGGATCATTTGATTTTTGTACAGTGGATATCTATTTTTTATAATCAGGAAAAATCAAACACATTACTTTCAGTTAAAATTGGAGAAATCCTATCAGTGAAACATGAAGTTTCCCATCCTTAGTTTTTTAGTAACAGAGGTGGTAGAAACCCCAGTACGAATGCGCTCTTGACAGGCTTGGCAGTTTATTTCTTTGTTCTGAGGAAAAAGAGAGCTTTCAGGCTTTGGTCTCAATATATCTTTTACTCTGCATTCTAAAAGCATTAATAATCTGATCAGGGTTGTTCATGTTGATAGCAGAAGCTCCCAAGCTTTGTTGTCCACAGACCCTGTGTATTTCAGTGTTTTTCTTGTAGTGTTCCAAGCCCAAAATATAACTAACACTTTCATTTAAAAAGTAGTTTAGGTCCAAACAACTTATTTATGCCCTAAAATTTAGTAACCCTGTGAAACATATATATTTCTCTCTCTCTCTCTATATATATATATATATATACACACACACAGACACACACACACATATATACCGACATATAATACATATAATATAATCCATATAATTGTAAAAGTCAGTATATATTACATATAGTATTTATGTAATTTGAAAATAGTTTAATTTTATCTTGAATTAAACACAACTACTTCATAATTACATATTTACCTGTTGAGTACTGCACAACTTTTCAAAAGCTTGGAATTAGGTCAGACACTGCCACGCTCATTTTTATTCAACACTGATTTTAGGCAGTACTGTTTTGTTTTGTTTTTTAAATCAACTACTGAAAATCCAGCTTTTTAAAGATAGGGCATCATTAAAAGGAAAGTATTACGTTCTAATGTTGAAATTGAATTACCTCGAATTACGAAGTTGTGCGGTCTTGGGCAGATATCGAGTATGCCTGTATTTCTCTTGAAAAGTTAAAATATCCTGGGAGCCCCTTTGAGTTCTGCTTACCACCCTGGAGCACCTTAACACTGCTTGGAATTCATGTGTCTATCCAACGCACCTTCAACATTCCTGGAGGTCTTCACTCAAAAAGTGAATAAAGATGCCCTTCTTTCCTACTTCCTTCTTTTCTTCTCTCTTTATTTCTTCTTCTTTTAAATATTCAGTGTAGGAAATCAATATGATTAAGTGTTGTTGTTTTATGTGAGCTATTGATATTTGTGACAACATATTGAATTAGTGTTTTGTCGCTTACGAAAAAGAAAGGACTCTGATATAGTAGGACATGTTGAAAATTAAGCAGTCACAACTACGTGGGAATTGGTTGAAATCTGATGAACTTATCGATCAACGGTTTTGTTCTGTGATTAAACCACTTAACGACAGACTGAATAACCATGAGTCATGTTAAATTTACCCTTTCTGTTACTGTTGGCATTCTCCTCTCACTTGAGCGTGTATAAGTGATCAATATTTTATGATGGCTCAGAATGAAAAATAGTGATTGTATCTGCAACTTTTCCTAGGTGTTTGCCCAACTATTGTGAACACGGTGGTGAATGTTCCCAGTCGTGGAGCACCTTTCACTGCAACTGTACAAACACTGGCTACACAGGAGCTACCTGCCACAACTGTAAGCCGAGCACACCTGCTGCTTCTTGCCTCTGTTCTGGTTTCTTTGTTCATTTCCCTTTGCATGGCTGGGTGCATCTACGTCCACGTATTGGGACGCACAACCCCAAAGTTCAGCATCCAGCTGCTTTCTAGTTTATTTGAAATCCACACCTCTTTTCCAGAAGTTGTCAAAGTAGCTCATAGAAATAGATAACCTAAAACAGGATAGGAAAGAGTAGGAGAGCTGGCAAAGGGGAAGTATGTGCAGAAAACAAGAGGCGGCTGAGGATAAACGTAAACAATGCAGACTATGTAATCCTTCAATTCCCTTGCGACCCCATTTATGAGGATAATGAAATAAGGATGGCAGATAATGATGTTAATCATTAAATAGTTCATTTTATTGAGTGTATTGTAAATGCCAGCCAGTGATCTAGTGTTTTATATGTCCCACCTTCTTGAATTCTGATGACCACCGTAGTGGGTGGGTACTAGTATTATCCCCAGTTGACTCATGAAGTAACGGAGAGAGATCAGTCCCCTTGCCCCAGTCTCCTTAAATAGTTGAGGCATAGTGAGGATGTAAATACTTGCAATTATGCTCCAGAGCCTGGGATCACAAAAAACACTCTTCCTACATTATAAACCATGCAATTTTTCTGATGAAATGTTTGCATGTGTTGTAAGACTCCTGTCCACTTTTTCAGTATGAATGATGGTCAGATCATCATTTTTCTTTCCTGTTTTTTCATATCATTCCTGACCTTGCCAAGCAACCTAACTCCTTCTACTCTGTCCTGTAGCTTCAACTTCAGGGAAGGGTGTTATGGGCAAAGTCGTCAGACTCCCCATTCCTCTTCTTTTCACTGTGTGCTACTTTACTAGGGTTGAGACTGGAATCCTGGGCTCCCAGCCGTGGACATTCTGGAAGGGACCCTCAGAGGTCCTGATTCGGGGCTGGCAAGGGTGTGAGCAGGAGGAGCTCCTGGTTTCACCCCTCATGCCTGTACCATTACAGCCAGAGTCATTCCATAGCATCATTTTCTCTGTCACAGTGTCATGAAGGATGCTGGCTATTGCTAAAGCCACACCTCGCTGTGACCAGAAGCAGGTTACTTGATCCAGGTCACCTAGCCAGCCATCTGTTTTACTTTCTTATATCTGCCCTCATCCTAATTGTAGTAACTAACTTAAAACAAAGAGCTAATTGAATGTGTTTTAACTATGTATTTGTAATTGTTATCAAGGACTGAATCTAAATATGCACACAAACAATTCTAAGGAAAACAAGTGGATGATAGATAAGATGTTTTCATCTGTGGCCACAGTTTGATCTAACTGTTGTGTTAACTGACTGTGTTCTTGAGCAGATAGTTCAAATGGCTGAAGGGTTTTGGCCAATAACCATTCTGAGAAAGGGGCCAGGATGACAAACCTGGTTAGAGTGAAGCCTTTACTATTGTTAGCATAAGTACATAGAGGAAGGGGCAGAGAAGGAGTCTTCAAAAGTTTGATATAAGTCGTATGTGATAAACAGTCATGTTATAAGGAGTCAAGCAATACACACAAAGCAAATGTACTCCTAATTACCCTCATGCAATCACGTGTCCTTTCTAATACCAGCCCTGACTCTCAAATCATGAGTCTCTCCTGCCAACGTCTTTCAAAGAATTTATGAACATAAATATGTGCATATAGAAGTGAGTAAACTAACCATTTTTAATGCCCATTTCACTGCACAAAATATAAAAGTGACTCTAAAACAATCCATGCTTATATTTTTGTCTATACCATATATAATAGGAAGAAAATAAAATCATCGGACTATGGAAGAGTAGAGAAATAAATTTGTATGAATATCTGAAATTTCTATAACACTGAGCAAATTAGTTACATTGCCTAAAAAGTCATTAATATAATTTTCAAAAATTTGGACTAGATCAAGGAAAGACACTCAGGGTGTAACTTATTTCTCATTTCATAAAATAAAAAGCTTGATGGAAATTATCAGTGCATTTGGCAAAGTGCCCAATGAGACATGTACATCATATACAGTTGTTAATATCAAACCTTGTACATGGAAAATGTATAATTATATAATCAAAAACATCCAATTATGGACCAAAACACATTGAGACCACTTGAGGGCATATTTCATATAAATACTTTTTCTGCTTCCAATTTTAATTATATTAAATTCTCATTACAGGGCATTAGAGAAAGTTTCTTTCATAAATGACTTTTAAAATTATTGATGAGCTTTGTCAGTCATTTTTTAAAAGATTTATCTATAGATAATTTTATATGAGAAAGAGTAGTTACATTATTTAAAATTTTTCTATTATATAATTATTGGATAAAAGCAGATTAAGGAGATTATACTGTTGTGTTTCAGATGTGAGATTATTACAAGGGGTCACTAAAATTAGAAATTCCAAAGTGGATGTCAAAAGACCCATTAGGATGGATGTCCAAAATGGATGTTATATTATATTTAGAACCATTTTGACATTTAAGACACATACCTTCTCTTTTGTTGTTTTACCTAATGTAAAAATCAATTTCTATTTTGACTAATTAATCTCATGTTCTGTTACAAAAAGAAATGCCACAGAATTCAACCTCATTTTGCCTTTTTCTATGTGACCTTTCATCCATATTAATTTTTTTAAAAAAAGAATGAGTTTTGTTTTAAAATATGTTTTAACTTTTTTCCTGGTCAGTAATATACATACTAAATTTCAAAACTTACTGTATTTTGTGTCCAAATTAAAATTTAAGAGACTCATTTTATGCTATTCCATTTGTGAAGATCCATTTTTTTTTCTTACAGCTATCTATGAGCAGTCATGTGAAGCCTATAAGCACAGAGGAAATACTTCAGGGTTTTACTATATAGATTCAGATGGAAGCGGTCCCCTGGAGCCCTTTCTTCTATATTGCAATATGACTGGTGAGTTAATCAACTTTCCTTTAATAGTTAAATTTGCATGAATGCTTTAAACACACAAATTTAAAATGAGACCAGTAGAAAGTTGACCTACTTTTCAACTTGATTAAAATATATATTGTTCAGTGGAAGAACTTAATAAAAACTTTTTAAAAATAGTTTAAACTTTTAAAAAATAGTTTAATGGTAATGATTTAGAAATGTTTCATTATTTTCAATGAATCTGGTATCTGTGTAGAACATCTCATAATATATGTATCTTATTAAGTCCCTAAACAAAAAGGATAGACCTTATTTCTTTTAGTAGACTGATACATATGAAAGCTTTGAAAAATATTTACTTTTTAAATGTAGGTACACATGACTTGTGTTCTTGAATTCTTTACTTATATAAATTTAAATAGAAGTTAATAGTTGTGGAAAATGTATTTGGTTAAATTCAACATCCATTCATGATAAAAGAAAAGATGAAAACTCAATAAATTACCAATAGAAGGAAATTTCCTTACTTTGTTAAAGAGTACTAACAAAAAGCTTACAGCACCTATCACACTTTATGGTAAAACAGTGAAAGCTTTACCCTTGTTACGAGCATTAACACAAGGATGTCTGCTGTTATCACTCTGTTCACCATTATATTGGAGGTCCTTGCCAGTGCAATAAAACAAGAGAAAGAAAGGGAAGATGTAAGTACTGGAAGGGTAGAACTAAGATTATCATTACTTGTGTATGACGAAGTTATCTATTGGTTCTCATTCTTAGTCTATGACTAGGTTATATATTAGTGTGTATATATATGTGTGTGTGTGTGTGTGTGTGTGTGTGTGTATCTCCATATACATATATCTGTAGATAAACTATAAAATTTAGGATGATTACTGGATATCAAATTCATATAAAAATTAACTTCATTTCATTTCTGCATACCAGCAGTAAACAAAATGAAGTTTTAGAAAATTTTATTTTCAATCACATAAAAAAATCTCAAATACATGGTAATAAATCTAACAAAAGGTATGCATGACTTCTACATAGAAAAGCATAAAATGCTCGAGATAAATTAAAATTCTGAATAAATGAGGAAATATAAAAATCCTATTGATTAGAAAACTCAGTATGGTGTAAATATTAATTCTTCCCATGTAGGTATTGATTTAATACAAGTCTTAATTAAAATTCCAGTGAGGTGTTTATTTGTTGGTTGATGTAACTGTTTTGGTGAAAACTGGCAAGGAAGTTCTTAAATTTATCAGCAAATTTGAAGGGACAGGAAGAACCAAATCAATCTTGGAGAATAAAGTTGAAGGACTCAACTCTAATAGCTATAAAGACATTATACTGACAGGCTAAGTGAAACAGTGTGTGATTGGCGTAAGGAGAAATAAATACATCTCTGGAACACAATAGAGAGTCTATAAACAGATTTTCCTCATGTATGGATAGTTGACTTACTGCAAAGTTTGCATTGATTTATAGTGAAGGGAAGGTGGTCTTTCAACCAGTGGTGCTGGTAGGGGCACGGGAGGGGTTGGTTGTATATTAATGTCCTCAAAAGGAATCTTGATCCCTTTGTCACCAAACCCCAAACAATGGATTCTAGATGAACTGTGCTCTCTAGTATAGTAGAACTAGCAACAAATGCCCATTTCAATTCAAATTTAATTAAAACTAATTAATAAAACTAAATGAATAGAAACACGTTTTAAAAATTAAAACAAATTAATAAAAATAAGATTAAATTAAATGCCCTTTTTTGGGGCGCCTGGGTGGCTCAGTGGGTTAAGCTGCTGCCTTCGGCTCAGGTCATGATCCCAGGTCCTGGGTTCAAGCCCCGCATCGGGCTTTCTGCTCAGCAGGGAGCCTGCTTCCTCCTCTCTCTCTGCCTGCCTCTCTGCCTACTTGTGATTTCTCTCTGTCAAATAAATAAATAAAATCTTTAAAAAAAAAAAAAATTAAAAAAAAAATAAATAAATAAATGCCCTTTTTTTTTTTTTTTCAATCTCACTGGTCACACTTTCATTGCTCGGCGGTCACCTATTCTATCACTGCAGAAAGTTTACACTGAATAGCACTGCGTCAGGAAGTCACAGTTTTCTGGAGCAAAACACACAGAAAAAGGAAACACTAAATTGAAGTAGGAGGTGTTTCAGAGGAGGATTCACTGCTTAAGATCAGGCAGTGAATATCTGGGGAGAGAATGTTCCAGGCAAAGGAAATAGCAAGTACTAAGTCCTGAGAGCAGAGCTCTTGCCAGGTGCATTCAGAAAACAGCGACAAATCTAGCGTGGTTGGAGTATGGCAAGTAATCGACGAGTAGTAGGAGAACAAGAGTCAAGGCAGGGCCAGGAGGCAAAGTCTCATTACTCTGAATGAGATGAGAAGACACCAGGGAGTTTTAAGCAATGATGGATGTCATCTGACTGCATTTGATGGGATCATGATGGCGCCTATGTCAGGAAGTGCCCATCTAGGAACAGAGGTACACACACAAACACTCATACACACCCCCCATATGCATGGATATATTTATAAAGTATAGTTCTATATGTATGCGTATATAATGTATGTCCATCTGTATGTCTGTAACAGGAGTAGAGACCTGCTTGGAGACCAGTTCAAGTAGTGCAAGAGTCCATGCAAGATGATGGTTGCAGCTTGCACTGGATTATAGCAGTGTGTATGGGGGAGGGAGATTCGACCTTCTCATTCAATACATGTCAGGTGTGAGAAAACAAAAGAAAATAAAAATAACACCATATTTTGACTTGGGCCACTAGAGTAACGGGTCGCCATTATTTAAGACGTGGTCATAAAAGGTTTGAACAGGGAGCACCCGGGTGGCTCAGTTGGTTAGGCGTCCAACTCTTGGTTTCAGCTCAGGGTTCGGGTCATGATCTCAGCGTTGCGAGAATGAGCTCTGCATTGGGTTCTGCGCTGGTTCAGCACCGGGTTTGAAGCCTACTTGAGATGCTCTCTCTCCCTCTACCCCTCCCTAAAAAAGAAAGAAAAGAAAGGTAAAGAAAAGAAAAAGTTTGAGGGGAAAGACCAGCAACTCCGTTTTACACAGTTTGAGTTTGACATGTCTGTGACACATTCAAAGGAGATACTGAGAAGGCAGTTGAACACGAGAGCAAGAGTTCCATTGTATTAATGTGTAATTCTAAAAATTGGAGGATGGTAAAACCATGGCAACGGATATTTAGGGAAATTAGAAGATTAGAATGTATCTTCAGTGATTTTTCATATCACACAACCAGGCGGCTTCCATTTGCTTTCACCATTGTTGAGGACATTGTACGCAGATAATCCAGCTAAGTGTCTTCTGCGGCCCTGGAATATTGAAATACATATACACTAAGTGTAAGCTTTTTGCTGTTTTGTAAATGTCTATAGATGTCCAAGAGCACCTTGATTTGGGGGGTGCAAATAAACTGTCGTGAGTAGGCGACTCTCAAGTAATGAGGACCTGTAAATAATGAGTATTGAATGTATATATATACACACACACTCACACATGTATGATATCTTTCTATGGAATAATTCCAAAATTTATAGGCCATGTGAACTTACGTTATCTACATGATAAGGTAGTTATCACTTTCATTTTATTGAATGAATTATTCCATTTTTATTAAATTAACATTTACCTCATCATATTACTTTATCGGTTATGTGCCTTATTTCAGTCAGCGAAGTCTCATGCTGACTCTGTAACAATTCTGAGAGACATGGAGGAGATATGTATATCCACACAGAGAGAGGTGACAGGTGTTTAAGCAAAATTTTCAGAAAGCATTGATGCAAAAGAGGGACAGTCACAACATTTAAAGCCATTTGAAAAGCAAGCCATTGAAGGTAGAGACACAGATAATCCAGTTAGGAGACAGCTCAGTGTCTTCAGAGACCCCGGAATACTGAAATACATTTACACTAAAGTGACAATCCCAGAATGTAACAATCCAGTGAAAAATAATGTTACAGCTTGAAACGTTTCCTATTGATCTGGTTTTGCAAATGAGGACAGCAGGGAGGTTGGGTAAAGCAGGCTAAAGAATCACTAGGGGGTGATGAGGGACTAAAACCCCTTTTCTCCCAGCCTGAACATTTTTCCACTAGAAAAGGCTATGTTCTATCAGCGTCTCATTGCTTGTAGCCAATAACATATTTTCTAGTTATATAAATCAAGTGGAATAATTACAAAAAGAAGACAAAATGCTGAATCAGTTACTTGCAGCTGTGTAACTTCAAAAAAAATCTCGTTATGAGTCTAGAATTAGTGTCAAGCAATGATTCCACATGGATTTAAATACCTTGAAGCGTTACCAGCTAAAAACTACAAAGGAAACTTCTTTTGAATGGATAATTTCCCAAACTCTGTTAAAGACGGAAAATTCTTTCTAAATACGGTATTGTAAATATAATTTTAAAAATAAGTAGTCAGGATAACGTGAATCCCAGTGTCTCTCCCTGCAGAAATGTACAAGGCTTTTTTCTTCTACCCGAAATCCACTGCTTTTTCTATAATGTAATGGTTTTATGTTCAAGATATTTCTCATTTCACACATTGCCTTGTCAGGACAGTTGTTTCGGGGGGGAGAGAATGATGAGTGCTAAAGCTCTCAGACTTTGGTGAAGATGCCAGTTCCCTGGTTTAAACTCCCTCTGGCCAAGGTGCCAAGGTGCCACCAAGATGCCTGGACTGAGTTTTGCCGACTCGGTAAGTTGGAGTACCAAGGCCGGGTTTCCGCCCTCTGAACAAGCTCTCCGCGTGCTTCTGAGACAGGAGCTCCGGAGACCATTCCCTGGGAAGGCTGGAGAGTATGAGATTTATAACAACAGAATTCTTTTTACTTTAGGGATTCCAACGATAAGGCCTCCTTGTTAGCTCTGAGAGTTAATAACTAACGATACTCAGATGCGGCCTTGTTTATACCAAGCTTTGCTCCAGAATGCTGGCTGTTCTTCCCTCTCATCTCCCAGGCTTTCCTGAACACAGCACTTCCTCCTTGACCTCCCAGTTTTTAATCACATCTATCACCCCCCCACACCCTCGTTAATCCTGAAGGAACACAAGGTCTGCAACTGTGTTGTTTAAACAGCACATTTTTTTCTTTACACTGTGATCATGCTCAAAAACCGCAGCGGAAGATAAATCAAGTTCTTAATTACTCAGGTGCTTTACATACAATCTATATACTAGAAATCTCTTCAGGGAGACACACTGGTAGACCCAAACTGCCTTTCAATTTTTGAGTGTATTTATTAAATTTCATAGATTTTCCTGCCCGTTACAGCTGTCTTTTCTGACTCGTGTCTCCGTGTCTCCTTTACCGCAACAACCAACTCTCTCAGCATTTGGTTAAAGGGCAGTTTTGAAACAAATAAATAAATGAATAAAATCTCACACAGATATAAAAATAAAAACTAAAAAACCACATTTTAAAGATTTCGTCTAATACTTTATTAATGAGGAAACTGGTAAGATGTCACAATCAGTTCAAAGGAGAATCGAAGAATCAGACATATGTGTGCATCAGTGATACTGAAACTAATGTGCAAATGGAGGCGGGACTGGCTTCTTCCACAGTGGGTGTGGAGGAGGGGAGTCCCTTGAACCTCTGCCAGGTGGAATTTGCTGGTGTGTGGACAATAGTTTGTTGTTGTGAGGAAACAATGCCTTGCTTGCTGAGCAAATAAGTAAATGAGGCAAATAAATTAATAAAAAAAATTAAGTAAATCTGGAAGCCTGTGTTAAAGGATCATTTCATATAGATATGTCTTGGAAGTTAGAGATAGTGACTTTCTCTGCAGAGATTAGAAGGTTGAAGGTTTATCTCCCCCAGATGTATTTGCCTACATGCTAAAAGTGACAAAAAAAAAAAAAAAAAAAAAAACCCAAAAACAAGACAAAAAACCTATGGACTGGTGCCTCTCCTCAGAGATCTGTTGCATTCCAGAGCCAGAATTCCTCTCTCCCTCTGCGAAGGAGAGGTGAAGATGTGCCAGCCATCGCCTCTAACATCCGAGTCTCATAATTTAAGGGTTACTTCTCTCTCTCTCTCTCTCTCTAAAGATTTTATTTATTTGAGAGAGAGAGAGAGATCACATACACACATAAGCAGGGGAGAGGGGCAGAAAGAGAGGGAGAAGCAGACTTCCTACTGAGGCTTGATCCCAGGACCCCCGACGAGATCATGACCTGAGCTGAAGTCAGACACCCAACAGACTGAGCCACCCAGGCACGCCGGGGGTTTCCTCTCGAGGTTTGACTTCAGCATGCCCAGGTGCATCTGGCACTCCTCTATTGGCCCCTGGGAAACTGGGCCATGGAGAACAGATGCTGCTAGCATTTTCTGTGAGCAGGTGGTCCCTGATCCAGGAACTCTTTGTGTCTGTTAGCGTAGCTCTCCAGCACCCGTCGACAGCTAGATCTGTCTGGATAGATATACATACATGGATATAATTCATATAGGAGGCAAGATAACTGGTTAACTTGCAAGTAGGATAACATCTCATACCCTTCATAGTTTCAGACTTATTAATATGCGGAACTATCCGTTTACAATTTACGAAGTTCTAAAAGAGCTAAAGGCACTGAAAGTCTCTAGTCTGGATGACACAGTGCGTTTACTCCTTTATTCCCACATTTCTTTAATGTCTTCTGCCTGTTGCGCCAAGCCCCTGTGCTGTGTGCTACAGATACTACTATGATAGCAAATCAGAAACTATCACTCTTCTCCTAGAGCCTACAGACAAGGGGAGAAGACCCAAAGAATAAATCACAAAATGTTGAATTACAAATTGTAGAAAGTCTGTGTCCTTTACAGTTAGAATTTCTGAATATCAGGTAATGCAGTCATGTCTGAAAATGCAGTAAAGAGGCCCCGGGGTAATAATTGTGAGAAATTCCCCTGTTAGCAAAGCATATGAGATTTGGAGCGTGGCTGCTGGGTGCTCATTCCCGGTGTTCCTAACCTATGGTGATGATTCTCTTGTCTCTGCTTTGCCCTGGAAAGCTAGAGATCTCATAAGTGCAGCATCTGTTTAACCTTCTGTTTTGTAGCACTTTTTATTAGAAAATGAAAATGCTTACAGAGACTACCATAATACTGAAATTTTAGGATGTCAAAAAAAGAAGTATTTCCACGTGCTGTCCTTTAAGGGTTGTGTGGTGCCTCAGCCTTGGGTTAAATTTACAGCACCTTAAAAGACCTTTGGAACCAAGTGTTAATTGTGACCCAGTGGACGCTGAATGCTAGGGAAGGCCCGCTCAGGGTAATGCAAAAGACAGAGACAAAGGCCTCAGGCAGGTGTGTTGTCCTGCTCCTTTGGCAGCGGTTCAGAGTCGAACTTCCTCATGCAGGCCACTGATTTACCACAAGGAAAGAAGAATGTTCGTTGAACAAAAAAAAACCAGAGTCCAGTGGAGGTTAGGCTAATAGATTTACCTGGTTAATAATCCTAAACCTCTAATAGCCAGGGTTGAGTTGGCTAAAATCAGAGAATTTCAGACCTACCCTTTGTCTCCTGTGTTCTAACACTTTATTTTCTAAAATTTGGAGACAGAGTCTCAGATTTTACCTGACTTTTTGTAAGCTCACATTCCACGCCGTATCTGCAACTCAAATATCCTGATGGTCTCGATACCATATCACTGTCTGGCCATCCATAACTGATGCCATTAGCTTATGTATCATGTCCTCTTGAAGGAAATTAATTTGCTGATAGAGCTCTAGGGTGAGCCGAAATGCAAGGCAGCAATAGAAGTAACAGCTATTGTTTCCAAGAAAAATAATGATGTGCACAGGGAAGGCAGTAAGGCTGTCAAAGTTGTCTCCTGTCTTATTTAGCAGACCTCTCTATTCAGAATTCTGGTGACCTGGAGAGGGCTAGGAGTGGAATTTCTTACCTTGTTCTGATTGCCGATCCGTGTGAATGTGTTCGCTAAAGAGAGGGGAGGAAATTCTCCCTCCTGTTTTCCTCCAATTTGGAATAGTCCTCTGCAATGCAGAAGAGTTATGTGACTTAACAGCTTATATATAGCAGGGTTTTGACAACTTCCAGTCTGTTTCTTACCTATTAAATCAGAGGCCTTTTGATTAATCTGTTCATGTGCCTGCATCTATCACAATAAATATAATGTGAAGTCAATTCCTAGAGAAGTTGAAGGCTAGATACAATATGCCTATCTTCTGCTACACACTCTGTAGGATTTTTATTTCATTTAGTAATTTTAGTAATCATTATGATGGTTGATGTTCAGGTGTCAATGGCGATTATGCTAGTAAGTACTCAGAGGTACTTTATTTTGTGAGTTAGTTGAGTTGCTGCTGCTGCATCAGATGGGTTCAGCCCAAGGGATAACTTCCTATGGGCCCGCATCATGGTGCACATCACACAAGACCAAAATGAATATTTAAAATTCAATTTAAAAAGGAATTGGCATGCACTCATACTTAAATGTTGTCTGAAGAGATACATATATATATATAGGCCATAAAAAGTGACCTTCCTTTTGCTGGTAACAGGAATGATTTTTAAGAGCAGAAAAGTCATTGCTTACATTATGTAGTTTAAAATATTTTAGAAATTCAAAGATACACTTTTTTTTTAAATTGTAACATCCCTGAATTTGGGGTGTGTCAGTAATCAACAATGCTTTAGAAATATGATAGGCAACTATTTTTTTCTAAAATAAAATAAAATAAAAACATATCTTTAAAAAGTAGAATATTAGATTCAATGAAATGAAATATCTTGCAAATTTTAATAATTCGTTTCCTTAATATTTTTCACCATAAACATTTTCTGGTTAAATTAGCAACAAAGAGTAAAATAAAATCACTGCAAATGCATGGCAATTGTATAAACTTGAGGGAAAAGAATCACTTCAGATAATTTAAAAATTTTAAGAATCCATTTGTGTTGATTCTACCTCTGAGAGAGGTTTGATGACTAGAAAAATCTGACTCAGATAAAAGGTGATTTTGATTTTCTTTATTTATTTTAACTTTTGCAGACTAGTGATGGTCTCCTCTCTTTCTTCCCCATTTCTGCATACAAGAAACTGCATGGACGGTCATACAGCACAATGGCTCTGACTTAACAAGAGTCAGAAACACTAACCCAGAGAACCCATACGCTGGGTTTTTCGAGTACGTGGCCAGCATGGAGCAGCTCCAGGCCACAATTAACCTTGCGGAGCACTGTGAACAGGAGCTTACCTACTACTGCAAGAAGTCACGACTTGTCAATAAACAAGGTAAGGAAACTGAGGCATCTGTCCTGCTGCGCGCATTGCACCGTGAACTTGACTTCAACAGCTCCTGTGGATTTTAATGATGCCAAGGTGGTGGCATTTGGCCACTGAGAGTGTCTGCCCCCTGTCCGCTTAGCAAACGCGTCACAGTCTGGAAGCCACAGCAATGCTTTGGCCTGAAGAAAAGAACAAGGTCAATTTACGCTGAGCTTTGTTCAAAGTCTTGATTGCCTTCGAAGTCTCTTCGTGGCCTTCATCACATAATGCTTCGTTCGGATGAATGAACAAAAAGGGCTTCATTCGGATCCTGGTTGGATGCTCGGTGTTCGTCCCTTATAAAGGGCAAGTGACATATATGGTTTGTTCTGTCATGCAAAAGAACTAATGAAAATATGACTTACTTTTCTGAAAGTGACTATTCTGTGGGACTCTTTTCCAGGGATTGTTGGCAGTTAGCCTCTGGGTAAAACTGTAAATTAGAATAGGCTGCTGGAAACAGTTTATTCAGCAATTTAAGTAGGAATTTGAAGACCTCTTTTTAACTCTTTCTTTTATTCTGCTTTTAGTAGCACCTAAATTCTGGTTTTGGTCTTGTTTCCGCTTTAGAACATCTCATCATGTGATAATATCTTGGTCCCCCGGTTCTGCCTTAGTGTGGGCCTTTCTGATGCTCTTGAATTACTGTAGGAGCTTTCCAGCTGTTCTCCTGTGGGCATCTATCTCTCCATACCTTCTCACCATCCAGCATGCACTCCAAAATATTCGTCTTTATGATGGGAATTAACCTCTAAGAAATACTGCTTCATCATGACACACTTTTCTACTTAGGAAGCCTGGTGCCTTCCTCTTTACTGTCTGTCCTTAAAACAGACTCTACTCTCTGGATATCACAAGTGCATATTCTGGACCCACATCCTGGTTATGTCAATTTCATGCCACTCCCCGACACACTGTTTTCTAGCAGCAATATTGAGGTATATTTTTCTTCAGAAATTAGAGAAGGTTCTAAGACATCAGCACAATAAAGCCACTTAGTGAATATTTACCCCATTTGTAATCTTAAGAGAGATCCATAGCATGACAAGAATTTTTAAAGACATGCATTTCTTATGTGACTGTCATATGTCGTGTGGGTCAAGCAAAAAAGATTTTGAACTCTTGGGACGGTATTTGAACCTGTTGTTTCTAGTTAAGCACCTCTTCTTACTTACTCTCCACCCACAGAGTACAACCAGATTATTCTCTCCATTTTGCCTTCCTTTACACCTCCTCCTCCTGCTTCTCCTCTTCCTCCTTCTATTTCAAAAGGTTCTCATTTGGACTTTCACCCCCACCAACCCTTCCCATCTTGCCAGTCTTCCCTCAAATCTTATCCCCCTGAAACCTCAATCCCATTTGTGAATGACCATCAGAGAGTTGTAGTGAGAAGAGCATAGGATTTAAAGCAGGAAGAGCTGTAAGTTCAAATTCCAGGGCTCTCATTGATTAAGTAGAGAGTTTGGATAGATTAGTCTTTATCAGCCTTTGCTTCCTCTTCTATGGCACAGGGCCAGTCATGGGGTGTGGCAGTGATTGGGTGGTACGACATGACACATACAAATTGCCTGAAGTGAGCTTCTCTCTTCCTGGCTCTCTGGGGCAGCATGGTTATAGTTAACATAACAGTTTTCGTATGCAACTGATGGTTCAGTTGTTCATTGTTGCTAAATATTGATCTTGGAATCTAAAACATAGATAAACAAATATGTAAGTGTATTCTAAGAGAATGAGAATCTTAATCATAGAAGGATAAATGAATGGGATGCAAAAAATGAACGGAATTGCTTAAGTAGAAAAGAAAGACCAAAGGGAAGACAAACATCAAAGTCACAAATGAACCAAACTCTGGAAGAACCAGGAAACAAAATCCCACAGGGTTAGTGAGCTAGCCCACACAAAGAGGACAATATAGAGCGTGAAGGAACGCCTACCTTCATGGCCGTTGGTGCCCATGTATCTTTTACTAAGACTCCCACATGTTTCAGCCAGGCTTGAGAGCCACTATTAAAGAAAAGAACTTCTAGAAAAGGCCATTGAACAAGGGATGATGGTAATTGTTAAATACACAGATTTTCTTCAAGTCCATCACCCTAGAATTCATGTAGAATGATCCTGAGTTGGAAAAGAGAAAACAATTTGGAATTTGAGTTCACAATGAAGAGTAGGAAGGAAGTGTCAGACAGGTTAAATTTACAGTTTCAGATCTTGAAGATACCAAAGTTTTAAGTAATAGTGGTGCCATTATTGTGAATGAATAAGGTGGGGTGTGTATGTAAATAGATTTTCAGCAGCCTGTGGAGCTGTGACTCAGCACATTGAAAAGATGGCCAATGTGGATACTCAAGTCCTTTGGGATTTTAACTACAGGAAGTGGAATGTCTGACCATGATCACCGATTGTTTATAATTTTAATTTTTTAAAAAGATTTCATTTATTTATTTGAGAGAGAGAGTATGTGTCCATAAGCAGGGGCAGCAGCAGGCTGAGGGAAAGGGAGAAGCAGGCTCCCCACTGAGCAGGAAGCCCTATTGAGTCTCTATCCCAGGACCCTGGGATCATGACCTGAACTGAAGGCAGTGGCTTAACTGACTGAGCCACCCAGGTGCCCCTTATACTTTTAATTTTTAACTTAAAAAATTTCTCATGATTTTCTTCATTCTTTCTTATACTTATTTAAATTGTTTAGGACGCTTCAAAAAAGTCTTAAAGGGAACCAGATGTACTTGGTAACTTTAAAACAGTCGGTGGTTTCTGTTTTATAGGGAAGATTGGAAATTTAGAGTGACAGTATTGTTCAATATTTAGGAATACTTTATTTTCTTTTTAATCTACGAACACGTAATGTTTTAACCAGTATATTGAAAAATTTATATTAAATGTTTCAAGATGGTTTTACCTTCTGTTGATGACTTAATCCTGCAATTAAAAAAAAGATGAATAATCTTGATTTTAATGTCTTTGTCCATACAAAAACTTCCAATTAACTTGAGTTTTTTGGCATGATATGTGCTGGTATGTATAGTAACACTGAGAGAAAGGTTGTTGGCATTAGTAGAGGTTCGATCTAATAGTAAGTTGTTATAAGCGTTGGCATTCTTAGGTAAGTCCCAGATTTTCAGTAGGGCTCATGGCAATAACTTAAGTTTTGAAAGTCAACAGAAAAATGATCTAACACCTTTGAGGAGCTGACTGATTTGATGTCACATTCTTCTCATGCTCTGATTCTCAAATGACTATGATTTTTCCTCTCTACCTATTGTTTTTTCCGAAGACAGATGCCCTGCATTCCTCACCTGAATGTTCTGTCTGTTCTTTGCTCTAGTTCTTTGGCATCGTGTTTAGTCGTAACTCTGAGAAGGAGCTGGAAGCTGAACATTCATCATAGAAAGAAATGCATTTGGCTAAGGGAAATTTTGTTTTTGAGTGTAGTGTTTGCTTCAGGCATAAAGATCTTTCAGTGTTATTTCTGTAGTCTCCAAATAAATAGCCAGGCCTTTAAATGGGAGGAAAAAAATACGTATTTCCAAATAGATCTTAAATCATAATAAGGTAGTGCCATATCATGCCTAATGTCTAATGAACAGCTAATATGTTTTTAGCCAATAAATATATTGAGATCAATCACTGACTTTCCGTAACATTCCATAATGTTTTAATGGGCATTTCATGATCTCAAGTTTGTTCCTGACATGTTAGTTACTGTGGTTTATATTTTGAGGTCTCCTTGTTTCAAAAATTATTTTTAAAGAAATTACGTATGTGAACTGCTCTCAAAACATTTTTGAGTACCATGCCTGAACTAAATGGGAACTGCTGGTTTCTTTCCTACTTAAGGAAAAATACATTGACCATTTAAGCTTAAATAATAAAATACTCTTTTAAAAGCTTTCTTAAGGCAATGCCATCAGTAGCCATGTTTGGAATATCACTGCATCAGATCAGTCTTTCTTTGCCTCCTCTTGCTCTTTTGAATGATTTGGGGAGGAACGGTATGGCCTGGGCTGGAAGGCTGTGGGGTATAGAGCAGATGTCACATTTCTCACATTTGTCTTTCAGATGGAAACCCTCTGAGTTGGTGGGTTGGAAGAACCAATGAAACACAAACGTACTGGGGAGGTTCTTTGCCTGATCCTCAGAAATGTACTTGTGGATTAGAAGGGAACTGCATTGATTCTCAGTATTACTGCAACTGTGATGCTGACCGGAATGAATGGTGATTTCCTTATGCAAAATATAGTTTATTTTTAAAAATAAAAATGGACTTGCTCAGTCCATTTAGTGTAGTGAGGCAGATACTGAACAAATGAGCACAGTGAAGAAATTAAATAAAGTGTATTTTGGTGAAATCTGTTACAATTAATCTAAATCCTAAATGTTAAGACCAATAGTTTTTTAATTTGAATTTTTTGTAATGGACCATACATCATTACATTTTATTTTTGTAATAGAATGAAAGGGAGACATCCTTTTTATATTTTTTCTTCATTGTAAGTCAATTATTTTCTTTAAAATTAAGTGTGATTGAGAATTCTGTTATTCTCAAAATATATTTACAGGCATTAATTATAAAAGCACATTTCTTCAGTAATCTGCCTATAAAACCTTTAAACAGGTAAACTTAGAATTTCTCACAGTTATTTGAACATGTAGCTCTTTAAATTTTTTAAGGATAATTTTTTAAGGATATTTATAAAAACATCTACTTGAAGAAAGTGGGGAATAACCAAATGTTGGGTGGCTGGACCCTAGAAAGAATAGAATCCAAGTGGATGAGATCGATGTTTACCTGCCTTTTCCCATGAGGGTGCTTGCCATGACGTGATTAGGACTCTAAGGGAATACTAGACCTTTTTGGCTTGAGGTATTCGAAGACAGAATATGGGGCTGCCAAAATGACTAAATATTGAGAAGGGAGTAGAAATCTCAGAAAGAAGAAAGCTACCTGGGGGGAATTCACTCTACCAACTCCACTCAGATCCCTGGCTGCCCTGTGCATGTGAAACACAAATGTACTGGTGAGGGTCTTTGCCTGATCCTCAGAAATGTACTTGTGGATTTGAAGGGAACTGCATTGATTCTCAGTATTACTGCAACTGTGATGCCGACCGGAATGAATGGTGATTTCCATATGATTTCCTTTGCACCTGCACAGGAAAGGTTTCTAGAAATCACGCAGACAGCTACAGCTGTCTTACTGTAGGCAATGCCATCAGTAGCCATTGTTTGGAATATCACTGCATCAGATCAGTCTTTCTTTGCCTCCTCTTGCTCTTTTGAATGATTTGGGGAGGAAGGGTATGGCCTAGGTTGGAATTAACTTGAGTTTTTTGGCATGATATGTGCTGGTATCTATAATAACACTGAGAGAAACAAGCTTTAGAGACATTTCCGTGAAAGCTTTAGAGACATTTCCGTGACTACTACCAGAAGAGAGACAAAATTTGGAGTTTAAGTCTCATTAATTGAGACAGGCTTGTAAACCACTTAGCTTTCCAGAGAAATGACAGAAGGTTTGTGTCTTCACAGCAAAGACTGTGTAACAAAACAGTATGACTGAACACTAAGAACACAACTGATGCTGGCCCACCTAAGATGGCATAAAACCAAACCTCCACAATTTATTGTGATAAGACTGTGCTTTACCTATCTGGGGCGGGGTGGGAGGAAGATTTAGAAAACAGTAACAGAATCCAAAATCTCTATAGTGTATCACCCGTAATATTCAGAATATTATAACAATTGTTACATATTCCAAAAAAGGGTAAATTTGATCCAAAGTCAAGAAAAATGATAGTAGTTATTAGAAATAGACCCTGGAACACTGATGTTTGATTAGCAGGCAAAAACATTAACGCAGCTATTATAAACATGCCTGAAGACTTAAAGGTAAAAATAACCACAACAAGTGAAGAGAGGGCATATCAAGCAGATAAATGAGAACTGTATTCAAGAAGCAAATAAATTTTGGAATAGGAAAGCACAACTTCTTGAAAAGAAAACTTCACTGGATGGACTTGAATATAAGATCTAGCAGAAGAAATCTTCAATGAACCTGAAGACAACTTAATTGAAATCATTTAATCTGAAGAACATGGCAGGTAGGGTGGGGGGAAATTTAGAAGAAAAACTAACAGAACCTCTGTGGATTTTGAGAAAATATCAGTGATTTAATGGGCAAGAAATCAGAGTCCCTGAAGGATAAGAAATAAAACGAGGCAAAAACTGTGCAGAAATGATGGCTGGAAATTTCTCAAATTTGTTTAATAAATGTCTGTGGTAGCAATTCTCTGAGATGGCCCTCCATGATCCACACGGGCTATCATTCACACCACTGTGTGATTTCCTCCCTGTGAGTGTCACCTGGACCTTGTAACTTGCTTCAAATAATTAAAATATGATAAAAGGGAAGAGAATCACTTCTGAGATGAGATTACAAAAGACTGTGACCTCTGATTTCCTTGCAACTCTTTCCCTGACTCTTGTTTTGATAAAGCAATCTGCCGTGTTGTGTCCTGGGGAGAGGCCAGGTGGCAAGGAATGGAGGGTGACCTTCAACCAATAGTCAGTGAAGAGCCAAGGCCCTCAGTCCATCCATTGGCAAGGAACAGATGACTGCCAACAACCAACCACTGGAGCGAGCTTGGAAGCAGATCCTTCCCCTGTCAAGATGATGGCAGTTGACGCCAACACTTTGGTTATAGCCTGGGAGGGGCTCTGAGCCAGAGTATCCTGTTAAGATATGCCCAGATTCTTGACACACAGAAACTGTATATCATAAATGTTGTTTTAAGTCACTAAGTTGTAGGATAATTTGTTATTCCATAGTGGATACATAATATAACATCAATGTATAGATTCCAGAAACTCAGAGAATCTGAAGCAGAATGAAAACAGAGAAAAGCACACCTTGGATTATTGTTTAGATTGCTAAAAAAAAAAAAAAGAAAAAAAAAAACACACACACAACAATGATCTAGATAAATATTTTGAAAGCAGCCAGGTTGAATAGATATAGTGGAATACATTCCATACAGGGGAACAAAGATACAAATGAAGGCTGACTTCTTAGCAAACGCACAGGTCAGAAGACAATGGGATGCTATCTGTAATGTGTTGAAAGAGAAAGCAGTGTCATCCTAGAATTCTATACAAAACAAATAGATATTTAAAAAATGAAAGTAAAATAAAGTCCTTTTCAGATTAAACAAATGCTGAATTTATTACCAGCAGAACTGCGTTGTGTGAAATACTAACAAAAATTCCATAGGCTAAAGAGAAATAATGTCAGATGAAAACTCAGATCTTTGGGAAGGAATGAAGAACACTGGAAATCATGACTGTGTCATTAAATAGAAAAGCCAGGCTTTAAATTATTTTTTGTAATTGAAAAATTAAAATTTACTGTCTAGCTGTATTATAACATCTATGACATCTAGATTTAAAATATATGACAGCAATAACACAAGGAACAGGTGTGTGCTGAAGGGAAATGGGTGGGGGGGGTATAAGGATATTATCCTGTAGTAAGCTTCTACCATTTTATATTGAGTAATATAACACAAAACCTAACTAAAGTGGATGATTTAAAGGTGCATTATGTAAGGATCCATAAAACAAACATTAAAACAACTATGAATAGACATATACCTAAAAGGTGAATAAAAAATAAAATTGAATACAAAGAAATATGGAGTAAACCAAAAGAAGTAGGAGAGAGGGAGCAGAAATGCAAGAAATACTATAGGAAAAAATAGAAATAAATACCAATTTGGTAGATCTAAAAACACAGTATCAGTCATTACACTAAATGTAATTAATCATGTATGTATATTGAATTATAATTGACATACAGTACTGTATTGCCTTCAGGCGTACAACATAATGATTCAGTATTTTCATACATTACGAAATGATCACCTTGCTATAACCATTCCACTTAAAACATAGAAAATGGTCAACTGAATTTCAAAATCAGCAACTATAATCAGTCTGCAGGAGACACTAAAATGTGGCCACATTTTCACTCAAGTGAGCAATCTGATCCTTGCTCTTTGGCATGTGCAGACTTACCTCAGAATATCTTGGCTTTGAAATGCAATAAGGACTATTGCTTCCCTTATATTAATCAGAATAATTTTAAGAATCTTGTTGTCGTTACTCTTTTTTAGGACCAATGACACTGGATTCCTTTCTTACAAAGAGCATCTGCCAGTGAGGAAGATAGTGGTTACAGACACGGGCCGACCGCACTCAGAAGCAGCTTATAAACTGGGACCTCTCCTCTGCCGGGGAGACAGTAAGTGGTGGCAGTGGGTTGTCAACATGGCTGAGCAAGAATCATGTTTCTGTCATATAATAATGAATCACACTTCTGTTGTGAAATGCATGAGCAGTGCCTGAAGTAATTCTTCCAGTCAGTCAACAAATAATGTACCCTTATAAAGTGTAAATCCCTGTAATAAATGCTTGGTGGCAAGCTTTGTTCAGATTCTAAGAGAACGAAACCACTAAGCATCTCAATTTGATTGGCTAATAAACCTATCCCAGCATTCCTAAACTTCGCATGCCGTGATCCATCTCAGGAAAGCCTCAGTACTGCGTAAAATCGTGAGGAATATGAGTTTTCTACTGTTGGGCCTGTGGTGAAATGAGAGCATCAGTAGAATCAAATGCCAGTTTTATCAAACACGTTTCAATTTTTAATCTCATCTTTTTCCCAGTCTGTGTGTCTGTGTATTTACACTAAATCAGTGGGACATACTGTTTTGTATATTCAGTGTATTAACACTCTAAACCAGAATTCTGGTTTCAGAGAAAATATTTATTTTCTGCAGGGAATGAAATGAGCATACGTACCCATACATATGGAGACTGATGCATTAATTCTTTATGCTTTTAGCTATTTCCAGGACTTAAAATGGAAATGGGAGAAACATTTATTTATGTTAAAAGTATACCCTACGATAAAATTTTATTTTAGGGGCTCAAACTAGGAGATGATCTAACAATGCTGTGGGTTTATGGAGATACATAGCAGAAGTTGCTTAGTTAAAAAGCAAAGATGATAGTGGCCTATAAAAATTTATATGTACTTGTAAAAAACTGTCTTCCATTATACCTACCATCCCTGATCTTCAGCATCTCTACTTCCTGTTCTGCCAGTAGGCCTCACACAATCACACAAAGATGACATGGGTATTGCATGGAGAGAAAAATTATGTGCAAAGAGATGAGGTTGTAAACTCAGGATGCATCTAGGGGAGTACAAGGATTTTGTGACTATAGAAAATTGTCCTATACGTCACACGCAGTTTTCACTGCTAGCTCTGATCTTAACCCTTCAGGGGCCCAGGCTGGCTTCCGCCCTCCCCCTTATTCCATTTGCCACCGTCCTGGGCAAGTGTATGCTTTGACTGAGGTCACTACCACTAGTCCTTAGGTCTTCTTTCTCACAAACTTCCTGCCATGAACACACAGAACCTTTTCACTTAACACAGTGATTCTCTATGCAAGGCAGTTTTCCCCCTCCATGGACATTTGGCAATATCTGGAGACATTTTTGGCCATCACAATTGTTGGGGGATTGAGTGCTACCGGCATCTAGAAGGAGAGGTGAGGAATGCTGCTGACTGTGCTACGATGCACAAGACAGCTCCCCTCAACAAAGAGTGATCTGGTCCAAAATGTCCATAGTGCTGAGGTTGAGAAACCAGAATGTTAAACTTTTGTGACCATGGGGATGCAGAGATATATGGTTTTACAAGTAGTCTAAGTATTTAGAGACCAGCTAAATAATTTCTGAGTTATTAATGAAACAGTAATTGAGAGTTTCCTTGGCCTGGTCTTGTACATCTATTTTAGGCTCAAGGCTCATCCTCACATGACATTATAGGACTGTTCTCAGCATGGAGAGCTCTTTCTTATTTTCTGAGTCAGAAGAGCAGTATGGGAAATCTGTACTCCTGAAGGTGTCATGCGCTAGAGACACTGTTTTTTCTTTCCAACTGAGATAGATTGGATTACCATGGGGCTTCTAGATATGGAATCATGCACAGTGGGCCTTATAAGCAGAAGAAAGATATGTGGACAACATCTTAAGGGCACTAGGACCTGAACATTGAATAATTTAAGGCCAAGATAATAGCTTAATCTTCATGATCCAACTGAAAGCGTGGAGACCAGTTATAAATCTAAAGACCACTAAAGTGACCTTTGATGTAAGACAAGGAAAAATGATAAAGTCTTGAACAACACAGTGGCATGGGACTTAAGGAAGGGACTCACATAGAGAAATTCAGTATGATCTAGAGGGGAGTTGAGGTTGAAAGGGTGGGAGGATGGTCTCTGGCTTTCTGATCTAAATAAAGTCGCTTAGGAGCATTCATTGAAACAGTCAGGATGCTAGTACCCTTCACTGAGACAAAGGAACTCTTAGATGTTCTTTGACAGAAAAATGGAAAAATGAGATTTAAAAAAATGACATTTAGGTTTTCTCACACAAACCAGAGATGCTGAAAATCTTATATCTAGCTAAGTTTTTGTAGGAAAGAAGCCTTGAGAAAACAGGACAAATAAAACAAAAATGAGTATGAATCCTTAGTGGTCCCGAATATGAGCCAACCCCTAATTAATTGGTATCATCTTTTTCCAAGTCCTTCTTTCATCCTTTTTTTTTTTTTTTATGCATGTTGTTCTGAAGTCCCATGGGCCTGCTGCTATTACTGTATGATGTCAGAAGTCATAGATAACACTGTTAAGTGTTCGACCTAAAGCACAACATGAATGATAAACCCACTTTTACAGTTGTGCTGCAGACACAAAACTTAGTAAATATATCGTTCATCCTTAAGGAGTTTATTTATGAACATAGAAATAAATTTCTTGAAAATAGATATGAAAAGTAAATGGCAGAATTCAACATCCTATTTATGAAAAAAGCCAAAGTAGGAATTGAAGAGAACATCCTCAGTGTTTTAAAAGGCATCCATGAAAATCTGATCGCTAATATCATACTGAGTAGTCAAAGACTTGAAACGCTTTACCTCTCAGATGAGGATCAAGGCAAAGATGTCTGCTCTCACGCTTCCTATTCAACATCATACTGCTCGTCCTAGCACATGCGATAAGAAAAGGAATTCAAGGGATGTAGATCAGAAAGGAAGATATAAAATGTTCCATTTATAAATGATATGGATTTGTAGGTAATATCTGTAAGAATTTCTTTTTTTTAAGTGAGTTTAGCAAGGTCACGGGATACTTAGCTGTCTCTAAAATAAGTAAATTTTAAAAATATATATACATATATATGAGTATACATATATATGAAATCTTTAAAATATATATGTATATCTGATAAAGGCTACTGTCCAGGATATAGAAAGAACTCTCTCACAGGTCAATAATAAAAAAAATTCAAATTAAGAAATGGGCAAAACATTTGCACATACAATTCATCAGAGAAAATAACAGATTTCAAAAAGCACATAAAAAGATTCTTAATATTCTTAGTCATTAGAAAAGTGTAAAATAATACCACAATGAGATATCAATATATAACCATTAAAATATCTAAAATTAAAAAACAAAAAACCTGATAATACCAAATGCTGGTGAAGATGCAGAGTAACTGGAAATCCTCATTGCTGGAGCAAATGCAAAATGTTATAGCTACTTCAAAAAATAGTTTGGCAGATTTTTTTTATAGATTTAACACATATTTACTGTATGATCCAGCAATCCCGTGCCTAGGTACACAAGAGAAATGAAAACCTGTATGTAAAGTTTTATATTGGCTCCATTCATAGTCTGCTAAAACTGGATACCACCCAAATGTCCATTAACTAGTGAATGAATGAATTTTCCCATTTTACTCTGGTGTATCCATACAATATGGTAGAATATTACTGAACAATAAGAAGAAATAGAATATTGATACATGCAACAACATGAATGAATCTCAAGTGCTTTATGCTAAGTGAAGGAAGTCTTACTTAAAATGCAATGTGCTGGACTGTTATTCAGTGTCTAAGATATTCTGGAAAGGGCAAACAATGGGAGCAGAAAAAGGATCTCTGTAACAGCTTCAAGGTGAGAGAAATTTTGCAAAGGAGAACAGGTGAAGGATGTGTTCTATATCTTGAGGGTGGTGATGGTTTTATGGCTTTATGCATTTGTCAAAATTGCTATACCAAAGAGAGGGCCATTTTTACTACATGTAAATTTTCCTTCAAAACTTGTGATCCCAAGGAAACAAAACAACTAACTGCTATTATGAATAGTTACGGTTGTTTAATTTTTTTTTTACTTTTTTTAAGAGCAGTTATAGGTTTATAACAAAATTAAAACAAAAGTACAGAGGTTGCTCATATATCCCCTTCCCACACACGGATAACCTCTATTATTATCAACATCACTCACCAGAACTGTACATTTTTTTTTTTTACCAGGGATGGTAATTACTTAATTGAAAAATTGGTTCACTTAAAAAATACCATAAAACTAGGAGACACTGGTGAAAAAAAATGACAATACAAACAAACGAAAAGATTATGCCATGCTCATGGGTTAGAAGAATTCACATTGTGAAAATGTCCATATACAAAAGCAATCTACGGATTCATTGGAATCCCTATGATAATATCAATTGTATTTTTCATAGAACTAGGACTAATAATCTTAAAATTTGTATGAAACCACAAAAGATCCCAAATAGACAAACCAGTCTTGAAAATGAAGAACAAAGTGGAGGGTATCACAATCCCAGATTTCAAGTATACCACAAAGGCATAGTAATCAAAACTGTATTGTACTGGCACAGAAGTAGACACATAGATCGATGGAACAGCATAGAGAGCCCAGAAATGAACCCATACTTGTATAGTCAAATAATCTACAAGAAAAGAGACAAGAATATACAAGGGGGAGAAGACAACCTCTTCAGCAATTGGTGTTGGGAAAACTGGACAGCCATATGCAAAAGAGTGAAATTGGACCACTTTCTTACACCATACATAAAAATAAACTCAAAGTGGATTAAAGACCTGAATGGGAGACCTGAAACCATAAAACTCCTTAAAATACAGGCAGTAATCTCTTATATATCAGCTTTAGCAGCATTTTCCTAGATATGTCTTCCCAGGCAAGGGAAACAAAAGCAAAAATAAACTTTTGGGACTATGCCAAAATAAAAAGCTTTTGTCCAGCAAGAAAACCATTAACAAAACAAAAGACAACAGATTGAGAGGGAGAAGATATTTGCAAATGATATATCCAGTAAGAGGTAATACCCAAAATATA